CCCCGTTATGGTTTACTACCTAGAATGAAGCTAACAGCAACAGATGCCCATCGTCGACGGTATGCAATCAACACGACTAATCCGCGAATTCGAAAATGAAACACCCAAAGGCTCGCTATCCGAAATCACAAAGCTAAACGGCCAGGTGCCCATCTTTGCGGTTTCTGCGTCTCTACTTGAAAAAGATGCACCAACATACATCGAAACCGGTTTCGACGGTTGGATCATGAAACCTATCGATTTCAAACGGTTGAATATCTTCCTGCAGGGCCTCCAGGAAGATGAGGCCCGGAATAGTACTACTTATCGTCCCGGTGAATGGGAAAAGGGGGGCTGGTTTGCCCCTAGGAAGGCTTAGTTTTCTTTTCTTTTCTTTTCTTTTCTTTTCTTTTTTTTTTTTTTTTTTTTGCTGTCCTTTCTTTTTGGTGTTTTGATATACGCATTTGAAGCATACGATACCCGGCGTTTTTTCTATGTGTCTGACAGTGGTGTTGGGGGTTCATATTGATATGGGCTTTGCACGATAGTACTCGAACATATACCCCATTGGATTGATGTCTAAATGAATTTTATCTACAATTGAGCCTATTATAAATGATGAGTTAAACAGTATAGAAGTTGACGCAAGATGACAGACTCAAACATCTCCAAGATACTGATGAAAAGACCAATTTCCCGGTCTTCGCGATATCTGGCTTGCGCGTTGGCAGCGACATCCGAGAGTTGCTCTGTCTTTAGGGCTCTGGTCAGTAGGAGCTTGATTGGGCAGATTATGTTGTGAGTCGTATTGAGGACATTAATGAGAATCTCCCGTCTCTTGTAGTAAACCATTTCTTGGTTACAAGTGCGTCATCGTAACACAGTAAATCCAGCTCACAAATCTCTCTGCAAACGATTGCGTTAAGTTGGTAAGTCCTATTTCGTCCCTCTTGTCCAAGATTTCAAGGGAATGTCTCAATAATATGGTGGGTCAAGCGGACCATAGACCTCTTCTATTGATCAGAAGTCAATTCTCATCCGGTTACGTTGTCAAGGAAGTCGATATATCAAGCTTACTAGTTGTCGAACGGTTCAAAGTCTGCGTGGAGACCGAATCCATACTGGGCATCGAGCCATTTTTTTTCACAATTGAGCGATTCCAAGTTCCAAGACCAGACGTAGGCAAAAGTAAATCTCTCCAGGGAATCGGTTCTCGCTTTAGTGGCTTGAACTCAATGGGAACAAGTCTAATTTCAGTGATATCTTGTCCTAGCTGTCTCATGTAGAATTGCAGCTATGAAGAACTTGTCTGTGTTCTCTTCCTGGCTAAATTTCGATTCACGGAAGCGTAAATAATGCTCCTGCTCTAGCTGAATCTGGATAAAACCCGACATAAGGAGGAGGGGTTGCTTGTGGAAGTGCATAGTTGTTTTTTCACAAACCGCGTGGCATATGCACCGGTGAAATTGCCCAATTTCGAGTGGAAGTTTTCGGTCATTTTGACGATGGAGACTTGTTATTCCCGTTTCGATGTCCATTAGCATGACAAAGCCGCCGAATCTTAGGCGTATGAACGGGAAGGCAAACTTTTGGTCTTGGCCTCTCGTCATGGTTCGATATTTCGAGGATCTTGGACGGTTTATGAAGGGTAAATAGCGCTGGTTCAATAAGCAGGGGGGACACTTGTGCCGACAAGCCGGGACAGTCGATAGCAGCATGTGTTGCTGAGCATGAGAGGAAAATAGGCGGCTCGAGACGCGGCTGACCACTTCTGTTATAACGGTAGAAAATTCAAGACTTCTAATTTGGAAAGAATCTAGATTGCACCATGCGGATTCGTCTCATCCAGGACGAGATCTTCAATCCTATAGTTCCGTCCATTCATCCGTTTCCAGTAAGGAGACGAGAGCAAAGGCTTCTGTGGCCAAGTTTTGCCATCGAGCCCGGCTAGCGATTGCAGTCGAGCTAACGTGGAATTTCTCGAAAGGTGAATCCGTGATGAGTCACATGGCAGGTCATTTCACAGTTTTATTGCGTATTGCCGTAGGTGGTATGTTTCGAAATATGACGGTTGACGGTTGTCTCATGTTGGTCTCGCTGGTCTGTCAATAGACGACTGACTCTATGGTCAGCATTTATTCAAGCTTCTGTTGCTTCTGTTGTAATAAAATGAGTATGGGAAGATTCTCTGTCTCTGTATTTGAGAGATTGAAGTGTTCTCGGGTTGATGTCCGACTGGAGTAGTGGAAAGATCGTGTGGAAATCCCGCTGTATAAATACAAGTGAGGGGCAGAAGATTGTAGCAGTGAATGAGCAAAAAAACATGGTTATGGGCTCCGAATATCTTCGGGCACAATACTTTCCATTGATATTAATTCCGAGTACAATATCAAACCGGGCTTTTGTCAGTAACCAGAAGTGGGAATGTAGTCGCTCAAGCGTCGACACTGTTTATCCCACAGCTGTTCAAACTGATGGGACTTGCAACTGCAAAACCATTTTCCTCATCCTAGAAATCGGACAACGTGGGCTATGGCCGCATTTGACTGGGGACTTGACAGATTTTTTATTCGTGCATGACAGTTGAGACAGCTCCAGGAAGGCTTGTCCCGAGGGATCATGGCGTCAAGCCAGGTTTTTGAGCAGCATATTAGCATTTGGTAATCCACTTCCCTTGATGGTAAGGCGATAATGTTTGGTCCTTCATAGCAGGTAGTGACAGTGAGCTGCTCACTCTCTGTAAGGCAAAGTTTCATCTCAATCTGAATGCGTGAGTAAGCTTTACATTGATGTAGGAGGCGCTGTCCATGAGAATCTCTCGCCAACACGCCCCTTTTGATCAAATTCAGACTAGTGTCTTCTGATACTTTCAGGTGCTCCACAATGCGTGCTCTCTCTCGAAGCGTCAATGAAATGCAGGGATATAGGTCAACTATACCAGCCCACTCTGAGCAGATTCTTTCCCACGGGCGACAATCTTTCCGCTGATATGCTGAGAACTCTCTGCGTGGATGCAGCTTCTGACAGCACCCACAGCATACCCACCTCACATTTTGAAGCTTGATGAGAAGGGCCATTCGCAAATTATACTCCTCAGTAACAACGTATGTTCGTCCATTGCGAGGCATCTGAGAGAAGCGTAATTCCTTTGATGCAAGCACTGAACCGAAAGTCCGATGGAGTGTCTTTGAACTGAGGACTAAGCACACCTGGCTTGGTAATGGGAGGTAGGAGAATATCTGCAGGAGAATCTCTGTTGGCAGCTCAAGTAACATGCATTTGTCTAGCAATTTCACAGGGTTCTGGGATCCATGTTGTGCTCCAAAGAGAACATCGAAGACCCATTCTGCAATTTGCCAACCTTTGCTTGAAATTGATTCGGACATATTGGATCACTGTGAAATGACACAGTTGAAAGTTCTAAATACATATGATTGTAGTGGGAACCAGGCCATTTCTATCGGACCGCGAAAGAAGGAATGTTTGATGTCTACTAAATGAATGACGGTATTCATAGGCAACTCAGCGTACCATGGATAGTCTATTGACGTATCCGGAGGCGAAGGTAATCGCATAAAAAAATCAGCTATCTAGAATGTTTTGTATAGCTATGAGAAGAGAAGACATTCCGTTTCGGATACATATATGCCTACAAAATGAAGGGTGTACAAAAGAACTATGCGAAAAGCAAAACAATAGATAAGCAATGAAGAGCGCACGTAGTTGAGTGACATTTGCACAATATAAAATAATGCAAATAAGTTGTTAATTGAGGGTTGAAGACCGGGTACTCAATCAATCTGTCGTTCTCTTCCGTAGGAATATGGGCGCTGATGATTCTTTTTATTCGTGTTCGAGGGTAGAATCAGTATTCTGGGGAGTGTTGACGCCTGACTGAGAATATGAAGTCGTAGAGAGATCGCACGAGCCCGAAGTGAGTGAAGAGCAAAAAATGCCAGTGGTGAATGGGTAATATGCTATAGATAAATTATATGACCGGAAGTGAAATGAACTAAAGAAGGAAGAAACATCTATATGCAGTGGTGTACATCTATACTAGATACTAGCTCTATGTACAGAATATCATGACCATGTAAAAGCTTAAACTCGCTCCGTGCCTGTAATCAAATGATCTGATGATAAAACTCGGGGAGGCGTCGGTACAATAACATCAGGCTCATCCTCGCCACAACTTCGTTTCTGTACGGTTTCAATATCGTGCTTCGAGTTCCATTCTGACGTTGAGCTGTCCGAGTCTCGTTGCGGTGTCTGGTTCAAAATCGATTGACACCCGTTTAGTCGGACGTTACGCAGAGCGTCTGGCGTCGGCGGTTGTGGGGTCTCAAGGCTATCGGTAGAGGTCTTGACCAAGCAGATCAATTTGTTGAGGATTGCAAACTCTGTCTTGAGCTTGATACTGTAGACGAAGCTATGGTAGCCGAGCACAGGGACGTAATGTTTTGTGTAAATGAGTATCAGAAAGATGCCAAGGAGGATTATGACACAGATATAGAGGGCGACCAAGTGCAATATCAGTTTCCTCCCTTCCCGACCCTTAATCCTCAACACAGGCTTCAGATTCACGATTGTTTCTCGAATGTATACCCCAGATAGGGATACCTCGGTCACACAGAGACAGGTCATTGTGACGTTCCAGCAGATGAGTCGGTAGTTTTTAAAGTGTGGGAGACCCGCAACTTGGCAAGAGATGAAGATTGTCATGGTAACAATTATAACGGAGGAGAGGGCGATGATGCCATATAGGATCCATCGAAGCCTTCGAGGATTTGAGATGACAAAGTGTAACCGAGAGTAAAGAACAATCAATGGAGAAACACTCATAAGATAGTACCCCAGCAGATAGCCAATGACGGAAGGAATGACGGGAATTAAGGCGAAAATGGAGGTTATGCTGAAAGTGACGTTGAGGGGGATACCCCATGTTGCTGCTAGCATACTCCAAAAGTATAGTCCACGGCGACGTTTGAACATTTCAAAGATCGAAAAGAATATCTCCAATGCATTGTAGCCTGCAACGGCAAAGAAGGCCACCATTAGACAGAGTCCGGCTTCGGTGGTCGGTCGTGACAACACTGGCTCTTTCATTGTGACGATTTATCAGGACATAGGATGCAGTGGAAAAGAGAAGTAAAAAGGCATAAAGTGAGAGAACAGAAGGACCAGAAGCAGCAGATGCGAGCAATTGTTATATTCGTACCAGGGCTATGATCCCTGAAGCCCCTCGGATTCAAACAGAGAGCACAGACTTCACGACCCCATGGAACAAGACAATATGTCGCGTGGAATCGGATCACGTCTCGAGGATGGCCAATAAAAGAAGGTACGATCATTTCAGTTCAGCTCGCGTGGATTTGTTTTCATTGTTGTTGCGAAAGCTTAAAAGAAAAAAGCGGTTTCGAGTGTCCAGAAGCTCCCTAGCGTCAATGACCACGGTAGATTGACATCTCTTGTATGATGTGATGGATCTGAGAGCGTTATATTTTTTCAATGCCGATAGGAGTAGAGTTCATTTAGCCAACAGTTCGTTGGATTTGACGGGCGCTAGAGGAAGCCAACCAAATTAGGTGTAACTCTACCATACGCCGCAATGCAACCATGAATGAAAAGAGACGGCTTTTGTATCCTCTCTTTCATGAGATGTTTGCTCAGGCGCCATGGCGGGGAATCGGCTTTCTCTCATGATATTCATGATCTACCCAGTACTATATAAAAAAAACGCTGAGAAAGAGATGCCGATTGTCGATTTTCCGGCACGATGAGCATACCAACGAGTGAGCCTGTCCAATTCAGCACGTTACACAGCAGTTCAAGTCAGCAAAATGATTTTCCAAAGACAGGCCGTGGGGAGAAGCTTATTGGCGATCCATGCTTTGGCTCTTGTTCTGATAGGGTCATCTGAAAAAAGGACACCACGGTCCGTAGATCACAAACAAAGAGAATCGAAGACAAAAATACATCAGCCCGAGGGACTTTTTCTTCGGTTTCCTCTTTCGGTCCGGCCAAGCCCGTTCGGGGACTGTTCTTTGCCTGCGCCGATGCTGATCTTCATGGGCTCATGGTGGTCCCGGACTTTCAGGGCCGCTTCCGTCCAGTTGCCAAAATCAAGGTCCGAAATCCAATAATAGGTCACAGAAACTAGCGTCGATGTTAGGTCGGAGGCCCGGAGGCCTTCCGGGGAGGTTGATGGCGAGCTAGCTCTAGCATCCCGAGTTATGTGCAAGTGTCATTTAGAACGGTACCACAGCCAGATCCTTGTTCACATAGGGGATTGCCTCGTGGATGGACATCCACCCGGGAGCGCCCGATGGCGACAAAGAGGCAGTAACAAATTATGCCATCGGTTCTTATAGGGCGTTATTTGGTGTTTAAGCCAACTGCATCCATATCCAGGGGTTCATGTAGCTGTCTCAATTAGTACGGAGTACTTGTAGAGCATGCGCAGATTTGCTAGCAGCTTTTTTCTCGATAGTTTGAGAAAACAAGAAAAGAGGAGATCAAGATGAGGTACATAGACTATTCCCAAAGAGGAAGGCGGCACGTGTTGCGCTGTCCCTCCCGTGACGTTTTGGCGAAGGAGCGACAACACATCCAGCTGCCTGACATGCCTAACACTTTTGACACTTCACTTTTTCTCTCTATTTGAGATATGCTCTTGCGTTAAGTATTTCTGTCTGAAGCTCAACTAGGCCATGGTGTCTCTCTGGCCTTGGAAGGTACGTTGCTCTATCCCTTTAGTTGGTGGTGTACGAAGTACGGGTTGAAAACTCACATGTCTCAAACCAGGGTGAGGACAACTCCCCAGCGCACTTCGAGAAGACACTCGCCGCTCTTTCGACCAAGATCAACGATACAACCGCGCGTTTAGACACCCACCGCCAAAATGCCCGTCGTTTCAAAGCTCTCTGGACACTCTACACCACCTTCGCATACCTCTTCTACTCGATCATCTTAGCTCTCGTCCTTGGCTGGCAGAATTGGGGGATCGTTGAATATTCTGCTGTTTCTGGCGGGCCGGTTTTGTACGGAACCCATTGATGCAAAACATAACCTTTTTGTGGATCCCAACGCTGACTTGTGCAGGATCTACGTCGTTAGGACATTGGCCAGCCGATTCTTCGACTACCGCATCTCCAAGACGCAACAACATCTGGACGATTTGAATAAACAACGAGACGTTACCATCGAGAAACTTAAAGCGGCCACCAAATACAACTCGACCCAACAATTGCTTGAGAAGTATGGCGGGGAGTCCCCTAAACCGTCACCGTCAAAGGGCGACGACGAGAAGCGCAAGTTGTTGGAGGCCCAGCGTAAACCGTCGACAGCGCAACAACAACAACAACAACAACAACAACAACAACCACCGGTAGCACGCACAGGACTGGCTCCGCCGCCGACAGCCAATATTCGACGACCTGTAACTCCAGTACAATCGCCTCCCAACCCATCCCCACCGTCTCCGTACGGAGCGCAAAACCAGCCTCAACCCTTTCCTCAGACCCCTCCTCAACCTCCGCTACCACGACAACCCGTCGATGAGCCTGGATTTGCCCCGAATGCCTTCCCGAGATCCTCCCAATATATCGAACAATCCCACTGGTACGACCGGCTCTTGGATGTCCTCTTAGGAGAAGACGAAACACAACCCAAGAACCGGGTAGCATTGATCTGCCGCGCATGTCGACTCGTCAACGGCCAGGCACCACCCGGCGTCCGGACTCTGGAAGAACTAGGTCGCTGGCGATGCGGAGGCTGCGGAACATGGAACGGCGAGGAGAGCGAAGCGACAAAGGTTCTCGCGAACATCCGCAACTCCCAATTCAGCGCAGGAGAGTCCACTTGGGAACCCGTGGCTAAGACCGATGCGGACAACCACTCGCCAGTTGGAGACGCTACTGAGGCGGTTATGGTCGCTGCGAATGACTCGAGCCCAGAAACACCTGCAGGGCCGGTGGAAGAGGAAGATGAAGAGCCCCAGTCCACCAGGGTAACTCGTAGCAGGGCAAAGGGTGGGAATAGGAAGGGATGAGGCGTTAGACTGGTTTTGGGTTGTTTTGGTTTTTCGTTCTTCATTACCATTGAGTATCCATTTCTGTTGGTCGAGGGATACCTGTTAGTATATATCTTTACCTGAAAAGTTTGCATGCATAGCCCAGCATTATTACAGACTGCACTGAACATGTTTATCAAATCCTGATGTTCCTACTGTTTGCTGTATTCACAAGAGTAAATGAAACATATCCAATTCTAAACGTCTATTCGTACATGCCATGATCCATTCATCCATGATACCATCCCTCCTTCTTTCCAATTGACATCAAATAATATACAGAGAAGAAATATCCATCCAGATTTATGAATCCGAAAACACGGAGAGGGGGTTTATAAATCAACAGGGTATAGATATACAAAGCGAGAAAAAAACAACGCCCACATTTCAAATAAATGCTTTTGTTCGGTGGCTTTTTTGCAAACCATCCAACGCCGTACCAATGCTCCAAACAACAATAAGAAGGAAAGATTTTTAAGAGAAGAAATACTCGCTGTCCCGAATACGAGTGATATCCCACGATCCCTTGTGAGGAACATCGCGGAACCGCACCGGAAGCCAGAGCCACACAGTCGGAGGCTTCGCCTTCTTCTTCTTCGGCTGCTCCTTGACTTCTTCTTTGACTTCGCCCTCCACGGCCTCACCGAAGTACGAAGCATCGGTTTCTGGGATGGCTTCGGCTTCCTTGCCCTCCGCGTCGTCGGCGTTCTTCTCACCATTGCCCATTGTCGGGTCGATGTCTTGGAAGAGGGTAGCGATGGCGGGATCCTGCGTGTCCACTTGGTTTGACATCTTACGCTCAGCGGCTTCGATGTCCTCCGGGACGTGGCCGACGGCGTTTTCACCCAGCGAGCTCAGGATTCTCAAGTCATCGTGGCCGCAGCTCATTTCCTCGAACAGGCTGGCGGGAGTGACCATTTCGCGGCCGCGGGCCTGCTGCTCTGGATCGTCCGACTTGAGCAGCTTCTGTCTCTTGTGCTCGTCTAGCAGCTCCGTGACCTTGGAGTTTCTCTTCTTCCGCATCGTCTTGACGGCCTTTCCGATCTTGCTGGTAGCTTCTACCCGGGCCATGAAGATGTTGTTGCTGTAGCGGACGTTGAACTCAGCGTGGAGTCTGGCGATAACGTCGTCGGAATGCATGCGCACGAAGGAGTCGCGGAGGATCGTGTTCATCGAGTCGACATCGCTCGCGTGGGTCCAGAAGGAATCGTGCACGGCCGAGAAGGTCAGTCCGGCCCGGCGGCAGGCGTTGGCGGAGAGAATCATGTGGGTGGCATCGAGCGAGTGGATGAAGTTTGGCGGAAATGCCTGGAGCTGCTTCCGCTTGGACACAACATCCTCCGAGTTGCTGTCGACGATGCTGACATCCTGCAGACTGGTTTCGACACGGCGCGACTTGCGCACCCGGTATGGTTGGACGACAGGAAGGCCCAGCGGGGTTGTCCAGATCACGGTCGATCGGAACTTCTCGGTGGGATCCTTCGACTTGGGCTTCGCTTCTTCGGAGGCTTCGTCTGGCGACAGGGCGATCTTCGCAATATCATCGATCTGTTCGGGAGACAAGGACTGCGTGATACGAGTCGCACAGTCACCAAGCCAGTACTGAATCTCGTGGGCACCTTGGAACATAGCTCCCAAAGCTTCGAAGATCTTCCGGGCAATGTAAAGCGCACCCTGTCGCTTTTCCAAGTGGCTAAGATCGGGGTAGTGGTCGACAAGCTGCTTGCGGACCTGCATCATGGCACCCATGAAAGTCACACCATACACGTTTGTCATAACCGTTTGCTTGACAACCTTTCTGGTGATTCTTCCATCCAGCATTTGCGCAATTGGGTCACCCCCTGCTGCTTCACGAGCGACTGCTTCCTTGACGTATTCGGCGACACCGGTGTAAACATCGGACGGGCGGTCAGAAGGTTCCAGGTTGACTTGTCGGGCGCCAACGCTGTCACCACCAAGTGCTGCATAGTGTTGCAATCCGTTACAAGAACCATCCTGGTGGATCGGGATGCGTGAAGGATACTGGGTGGGGTCAGGAGAGCGAAGGGCATTTCGCAGTTCACAGCAGGCCGCTAGACATTGCCACGGGTCCTCTGCCTCAAGCCACCAACGCTTTCCATGCAAGCCGTTATCCGCAGAATCAAAGACGTTGTCGAGGTTATCCATGGCGAATTTCTCACGTTCCGAAAGACTAGCCTTGTCAAAACCATACAAGTTTGCAAGTTGAATCTTCAACCACCTCAGACCAGTCTCACCCAGTGGCTTTGCATCTGCGAAGAGGAGAAGTCCTCTGCAGTTGTCGGCGCCCATCTGGTTGAGATAGGGAGGAAGGGGGTAAGCACGTCCACGGAAATCCATGTTATGAGGAAGATAGAACGTTTCGTTCAAGTAGGAACGGGCAACTTCCATTTGGAAGTTCTGGAAGCACCGCATCGAATGGAAACCAGATCTTTTGTTCTCGATTTCACGCATGATGGTGTTCCATTCCTTCTCAGCTTGGTAGCCATCTTCCGGGGATGGTTTCGGCGGAATACCAAATTTGGGTTCCAAGGGGGCAATGTTGGCGACAGCTTCACCGGAGTTCCACGCCTCGAGCATGACATTGAAAACATCCCGGTTAATAGCCCATCCTGTGCTTCCAAGAGTGTCTAAGCCCTCGCGGACTTCTGCAATACCGTGGGTTTCGATGACAGCTTTGATATAAGCCGGCTGCAACTTCTCACCCGGGGTTGAGCGCACCAGACTGCTCCGATAGACATAATATCCACCATCATTCGCTCCCTGCCAGGGCTTGGGTTTGCACACCATGGGCAATGTCCGGCCCAAAAGGTCGGCGGCTGGTTCTTTAGCGACGAGCTTCACAATCTCAGGGTGGAGATGGATCAATCCGGAGCGTTTGCCCCAGGTGATCTGATACACGTGTTGGAAAGCCGGTTGCAAAGTAACCACTCGCTTCTTAGTCTCTGGATCCTCCACCGTAACAGGTGCCTTTCCGACTTCGAAAAACAAACTCATCAAGACAGCTCCGACCTTCACCGATACCCTTGGAGGCCAAACGAGAGTTTGGTCCTCTTGTAGGAGGCTCTGGACCAGATATTGCCACCGACCCCGACCATCCTTTCGTTTACGATCGGAGAGGATCTGCTTCAGCGCCTTGATACGTCTGGCATCTGCCCCTAAATTTTTCTTCAGGGCGGTTTCCGCAATTAACTCATCCTGGAGGTCTTTTCCGATTGTTGAGACAATTGCTGAAAGTTTGATGCCTCTGTCCATACCGACTCGACTAAAAACGGAGATCACGGCAAGGATAGTAAGGGCGGCTAGGCGATCGGGATCCAAGCTCCGCAGGAAGACACCATACTCGGCTCGCTCTTTCTGGGCACGAGTGCGAATCGGGTTGTTCTCCGCCTCGTCGATAAGACTGATTTCCTCCCTGAGTCTGGCTACGAGATCGGTATGCCATTGGTTCATGACGGAGCCCAATCGTGTCCCGCCACCGGTGGTATCGATACCTGCCTTTTGCCTTTCACTGAACTCGCGGCGCCAACGCTCCAGAGCAGACTGGATAGAATCCGCTTCAATCTGCCGCTGCCTGATCTGTTTGATTAGCTCCACGTCTTCCTCTGCTTCTCCTTCTAAGATAGGGTCTTTCTCTGCTTCTCCTTCTGTGATAGGGTCTTTGGGGGTCTTCGCAAACGACGAAAGCGATTGTTTCAATGAAGCGAGACCAAGACCTTTTTGTGCAACGGGCATGACCTCGGCGATTTCTTCGATCTCCGCATCCAAATCCTTCTGTGATTGATCTATGCTATCAATTGACATGCGTTGGAGATCGGAGGAGCAAATCTAGTTTCGGAGAACTATCAGTATTCGTTCGATCCAAACAAGTACACACAATAAAACTCACCTCTGAAAGTTCACCAAGCTCCAATTCCGAAAGAATGGGCACAGCCAAAACCTGGTCCTCAACGCTATCCCTCTTGGCAAATTCCCAATATCTGCGCACAGATCTATCGCGTTTCGAGCCGTGCAACATACGCAGCGCCATGCGTATCATAATAGCGTAGGTCTTGGCGTCGGGTTGAACCTTTCCGTTGGGCATATCTAACTCGAACCACCTCTGCATGGGTAAAACCATGTTGTGCTGCCTCGTCACGATCATATTGGTGACCATTTCCTCGAGATAACGGTTGTGGAGAGCGAGGAATTCCGGTGACCCAACCGGATAGTTGTTGCCCATTCGACTGATCAATGTGGCGGCTCGGTCAAACCGGCCGACTTTCAGGGACATATCTAGGTTTGCCATCATCTCATCCTCATCACCACCGATACCCTTGACCTTCCGAAGAGACTTGGGCTTTGTCGTCAAAAGATCGTCGATGATGATCAACGAGGAATTGTCGAAGCCCTGTGCTCGTGGCGAGAATAGATGGTCCCATTGTGATGATTTCTCGTCGTTTCCTGCGTATGAGTCGTCGAGAGGGACATAGGACGATCCATTGTCGATTGCGGTCTGGTCCGTAGTGGTGGCGAGGTTCCGGTTCAACTGAAGAGACGGCCGGCGAGAACGCTCTAAGGCGAGGGGTCGGTTTGACTGCGAATGAAGCCGCAATGGGGCCAGAGATGGCAACGCCCGGCGGCCAGTCGAGTGTCGGAGGTGGGACAAGGCATTTTTCTGACGAACGACTTGTGACAACATGATATGCGATTGGAAACGAATAACGGGTGTAGGATATCGTAAATTATTATCGGAAGATAGAATATAAATTGATGGTATGCGAGGAGATTATCAGAGATGCAAAATGGGTACAGGAGCCCAATACTAGCGAAGTTTGACCATCCGAACAATGGCTCTCAGACGTGGTCAAAAGATGAGAGGGATTGTGTGACTAGCCGTCCTACAGCCCTTCCCCGCACCGACTATTAGGACAAAAGGAAAATAAAAATGAGCAGGAAGAGAAAGATGGGATGGCGACGACGAGACAACAGGAAGCGGAAGAGAAAAATTATCAGGCCCCGATCTCCGCTGATAGCACACGTGAGATCACGTGCATTACTTATCAGAGGCCTGATTTGCTGTTCGCAATTGAAGGTGGCGAGTTGGCAACCAGTCTGTATGGCAATTGGTGGAACAATGCTATTTCGATTGATTTCGATGGATAACCAATTGATACTGGGTGTTTAACTATATGAAAACCTATTCATGGTTGCTGGTTTGCTATGAAATACCTCCGCACGTGCTTGTAGCTCGGAGGGTGACCAAGTATGGCTAGTATTTGCTTATATAGCAAATAATGCAGAATATCTTACAAGCAAAGGTGCTGTGGTCTAGTGGTATGACGTCGCGTTGTGGCCGCGCCAGCCCCGGTTCGATTCCGGGCAGCGCCATTTATTTTTTATTTTGAAAATTTTTTTTTTTTTTGGTTCTTGTCCTTTCTTCCAAAAGCTTCCTTTTTTTTGCTCAAGTAATGAGCGCTGATATAATGTAATAGCACACGATATATTTTTTCTTTATAAATTACCTGGTTATGGCCAGTCTAATTGCTGGATTATGACCGTAGCGTAGCCCTAGGAGGGGACATTCGGAATTAGAAGGCGGTGCACACCATTCTGCCGCCAATTTTCTTATCAAGCGATACGCCAATTGCTCTGACAAAAAATTGCATGCCAGCTTCATTGCTTTAATTTTCATAAATCTACTTTTTGTCTTCATGAAATAGAAAATACTTCTCGAAATACCCCATATTACATTTTCTACAGGATAAGCAACGAATCCACCATGGCCACAAACGCAGACTCCGACCCCGTCATCGCATCCTACGACGTCTACCTCACAGACTCCGAAATCTCGCGCTACGTCCTGCAATACCTCGACCGACCCGCCAACCAAGCCTACGACGACCGCCATGGCCAGAAACCCACCGCGCTCCGTCTAAAGCCGCAAACGGGGCTCGTTGAGGTCGATGTTCCGATCAGCACGCGAGTGAATTACGATGTCGGGAAGGGGTTACGGTATGGGGATGCGATAAAGAAGAGTCGGAGTGCGAGGGAAGGGGGTGCGTATGGTATGGCCGGGGGTTTCTGTGGGGGGAGTGCTGGTGGCGGTGGTGGTGGGAAGGTTAAGATGGAGGACGGGGATGTGGAGATGGGAGGGATGAAGAAGGATGGTGATACGGAGGAGACGGCTTCGTTGTTGAGGCTTCAGACGCTTGGTGGGAGGATTAAGACGCCGGAGGATGGGGATCCGGTTTATATGCTTGGTGCATTTCGGGGGAGTATGTCGCCCTTTTCCTAGGGATGTTTGCTGGATGACTGGCTAATGACTGTAGAGGATTTGCATCTTTCTCCTGTGTCCGCTGTGGTTCAGTTACATCCGCAATTACACCATCTCGATGCCTTGGATGAGGTTCCTACGAAGGGGAGAGGCAAAGCCCGGAAAGAAGGCGAGGAGGAACGCGCCGCCGAAAACGAAGCCCGGACCATTGATGTTAAGATCAAGGCCGCCGGCGAGGACGGAGAAGTTGCCATGGTTGCAGGCAACCTGGAGCTTCTGAAGAAGATGCAAGATGAGAAGTGGAATGCGTATGAATGGGTTGATGCGGAGGTTTGTCTTCCCACACTCTCCGTAACGCTTTGCAGTGCTAACTATCCAAGACCGGGGAATCATGGCAAACATACGAAGGGTGCATGATCAATCAGGAGATAGAGACCCTCCCGCAGTTACAGTCCGCTGTTGAGGGTGAAGACTACTTGGATCAGATGAGCGCACCGCGTATTGATCCGGCGCATCCGGAATTGACCGGGTGGGCGATGAAGCAGAATCGGAAGAAGCAGCAAGAGGGTAGTCCGGCGGCGGAATGAGTGGTTTATTTTTTTGCTTGACTTATTGTGTAAATGCATGGGTATTAGAACGGTTGCATATATCATTTTGGTCCGCGTTGTTTTATGTACAATGTTCACTGTGGCTTCCGGTCTTTGGGAGATGAACGGGTATTGGTGTGTTTGACCTGGTGGTCTCTTCCTGTTCTATAGGTAACTAGGGCCCGGAGATATATAACAAAGCACCAACCGCACCTATCGACTCAACACATGCATATTTTTTCCGATCCTGCTCATCCGACAGAGAACCTAGATTCAAAAATAATATACAGATGAATGCATCAAACGCCACGATGAATTGTGAAGCAAGTTTATCAACATTGGCATATTATCAAATTACTAGCATATAATTATCTGCACCTAAAATCATACAACAACAAGGTGCTGTGGTCTAGTGGTATGACGTCGCGTTGTGGCCGCGCCAGCCCCGGTTCGATTCCGGGCAGCGCCAATTTCTTTTTGCTTTTCTTTTTGCTTTGGAATTGTAGGAATGGGACGCTATCGATAGGGCTTGATTGACATGTTTGTGTCCGTCTGAAGCGGCTGGATTGAACTGTCCCTGAGAACGGACGACAGAGCTTACTGGGACACGGAGTGCTATTGAGGAGTGCTGTGCGGACAGTACAATGTACGAACAGTGTTAAATCAACATCATACAGTAGACAACAAGAGATTAGCAGTAATGTATGCATGCATCTAGCATTCGCCATTAGGCCTTTGCGGCCACGGTATATACAAAACGCCAAAATCAACCAACAAAGCTGAGCTCATTGCAACAAAAACACAAAAGATGAAACATGAACATTTTTAGTAAACAGCGTTATACATCAAGATGGAAGCTTCAATTCAACTGCAAATGCGTGATGGAGTCGTAAATTTTCAAGAAATCGTCCAAGCTATTTTTAATACCCTCGTTTATTCCTCGTCATCCTCAGGAATCTGTTATCACTGTTAGTAAGATGTTCGCAGCTAGAATGTAGGGTGAAGGTCACTTACCCCTTCGTGGAAGTTCATGCCGTCGGTGGTCGCCTTGATGATACCGGCACGGATAACCCAATCACCGAAACGCTCGGGCACCTCGCCGTCCGTGTTCCGCTCAGCGGCGTACCGCTTGAACAACGGTCTCAAGGTATCGAGGATCTCCTCCTCCTTGATGGACTGGCGGAACAGCTTGTTCAGACGCTGCCCGTGGTAGCCACCACCAAGGTACATGTTGTAAGCACCGTAGGCCTTACCGACGAAGGCCACCTCAGCCAACCAAGGACGAGCACAGCCGTTCGGGCAACCGGTCATACGCATGACAATGCTTTCGCGACCCAAGCCCACCTCTTCAAGAGTGGACTCGAGCTTCGAAACGAGAACGGGAAGGTAACGCTCGGATTCGGCCATGGCGAGACCGCAAGTGGGGAAGGCAACACAGGCGGAGGAAGAAAGACGCAGACCGCTGAAGTTGGTGTTGTCGAGCTTGTGCTTGGCCATCAAATCCTTGATCTCAGGAAGATCTTCGTCCTTGATGTTGGAGAGGATCAAGTGCTGGTTACCGGTGAGACGGAACTCGCCCTTGTTGAGCTTGGCCAGCTCGCGGATACCAGTGCGCATAGGGAAGTCCGCGGTATCCTCGATACGACCGTTCTCAATGAAGAAGGTGAAGTGGTTGAAGTTCTTCTCATCCTTTTGCCAGCCGAAGGTGTCAACGTTGGAAGCGAACTTAAAGGGACGGGGCTCCTCGAAGCGCAGGCCATCGGGGAGGAGAGCCTCGACCTTCTCCTTGAAGATGGGGACGGTCATGTCGTCGATGGTGTACTTGAGACGGGCGTGCTTACGGTTCTGGCGATCACCGTGGTCACGCTGGACGAGCATGATCTTCTCGGAGACGATGTGGGCCTTGTCAGCAGGGATATATCCGAACATGCGACCGGTTTGAGGGTAGGTCTTCTTGTTGTTGTGAGTCGAACCCATACCACCACCAGCAAGAAGGTTGAAACCTTCAAGGTGTCCGTCGGCACTCTTGATAGCGATCAGACCGATATCGTGGGCGTAGACATCAGTGTCGTTGTGTGGAGGAATGGCAATGGTGATCTTGAACTTCCGGGGAAGGTAGGTAGGTCCATAGAGAGGCTCGTGGTCAACGACAGCATCTCCAGCAACCTGAACCTTCTTCTCACCGTCTTCCTTCAGCCAGATCTCATGGTAAGCAGTCGTGGCAGGAATGAGGTGGTCACTGATCTTCTTCGCAACAGCGTTCGTCTCACGGTGGAAAGAAGAGAGCTCGGGGAGCGAAGAGCACATAACGTTACGGTTGACATCACCGCAAGCAGCGATGGTGGTCATCAGGGCCTTGTTGATATCGCGCATAGCCTCACGGAGGTGACGCTTGACAACACCGTGGAACTGGAACGTTTGTCTTGTGGTGAGCTTCATGGTTTCGTTACCGTGAGCACTGCTGATGGCATCCATCTGGAGCCACTGGGTAGGGGTCGCGACACCACCGGGGAGACGGCAACGGATCATGAAGCTATAGGCTGGCTCGAGACCCTGAGCCTTGCGCTCGTCCCGGACGTCACGGTCATCCTGCATGTAGGTACCGTGGAACTTGGTCAGTTGCTGGTCGCTAGCGGAAATAGCAGCAGTGGTCTCGTCCAAGAGACCCTCCTCGATGGTTCCACGGAGGAAGTTGGACTGGATCTTGATGTCCTCATTGGTCAACGGTGGGGGCTCCTCAGGAAGACCCTCGACCTTGTCCACACCCAATGCTTGCCAGAGGCGAGGCTCCCATTCGGAGTAGCCAGTCTGGAAAGCGTCGGGGTCCTGGTCGTCACCAAGACCGATGTCGGTCAGTTTGCGACCACCGAGGAAGGCGACGCGGGCATCAAAATCTTTAGCAGGCTTGTTGTAGTAGATCTTGTCTTCCTTGCGAGGCCAGTAGTGGCTGTCACCAAGACCGAAGACGGAGTAGTTAATGGACGAGAGGTCCAGGTCGCCAGAGTTTTTGACGTGCTCCCACAAGCTACGGCCGTTCTGAGGGAACTCACCCTGACCGGCAGTACTTGTGATGAAAACAATGTTCTCCTCCGTGGCAAGGTCGTCAGTGGGGTAGTCGTCCATGGCCATAACGATGGTCTTCAGACCACGAGCACGACCGCGGTTTCCAAGACGCTTGGCGATGTTCTGTGCGTTACCATTATCCGAAGCGAAGAGGACCGTCAAAGGTGCGCCAAAAAGACCCTCGAGCAGCGTTTCGTACGAGTCCTTCGCCTTGCGCTTTTGCAGAGCACGGACCTCAGTACCATAAGACTCGGAGAGGACAGAGGAGAACTTAGGGTGACGATTCATGAGCTGGGTAAGCTGGTTGTCGCGGCGGAGGAACTCCTCAAGCTCACGGCGGATACGGTCCGAGTCAAGGGCGAACTTGGGCTCAGCGGTGTCCTCATTGTTAGGGTTCCAGCGGTACAGAGGCCAGTAACCAAGGTCAACAGCCTTCTTGGTCTCCTGGAGAACCGTAAGAGCCGAGTCGTTCTCCTGGTTGTAGGGGAGGTAGGCAACGACGACGGAGGGACCATCGAACTTCTCGGCCTCAGCCATAGCCTGAAGGACCTGGGTGTAGGCACTGTAGACAGCGACGGAAGCAACGTAGGCATTGCCGTAGTTCATGGCGTACAGACCGATATCCTTCTTGCGGCGGGTGGGGTCAGCGGCAGCGCGCTCCGAGTAGGGCTGAGAGTCGATGACCAGCATGTTGACATTCGCACCAGAGGCAAGAACGTGGTGGACACCCGAGTTTCCGAGATCGTACGCCCAGGCGTCGGAGCCAATGAGCCAGTGAGTCTCATCGTAGAAGAGCTGCTTGGACTGGAGAAGCTGGCGCGCCAATGCGGAACCGTCGTTAGACAGACGAGCAATGACATCAGCAGCCAGCTTGTTAGCCTTGGACGGGTCGTTAGCAATCAAAGCCCACTTGGACAACCAAGTCTTGGGAACATCGGTGGCGAAAGACGAGGACTTGGAAGCTTCCTCGACTTCACGGACGAAGCGCTGGCGGTGCTCAATGCGGGCAATCAACGAACCAAACCCGTACTCGGGGCTGGCCGAGATGGTGGAGGAAATACCAGCGTGCTTAGAAGTAGCCTGGTTGGCGACGTACAGACGCTCCCCGAAGAGCTGGTTCAGGATCTTCTGATAAGCGTTCTCGATGCGAGGCTGCTCAACGGCGGTCTCAGGAGTCGGGACCTTGGAGCTTCCAACCTCGAGGTTCTGGATAGGGGAGGTGGAGTTCAAGTTCTGGACCACACCACGGAGGGCTTGGTCGGCAGTCGATGGCTCAACGTATCCCAGGCGGAAGCCCACAATCTGCAAGCGGCGGTCGGTCGTGGTGGGGTTCAAGCTGGACAAGAGATCCATGAACGAAGGTCCCCATCGGGTCGTCTTGCGAGCCTGCTCCAGCACGGCGATTTTTTCCACGGAGGCGGGGATCGAGTTAGCAACATAGCTGCCAATCCATGGGCGGTACAGACGAGCGGTGATAAGTCCGAGGTCCTTAAGCTCGCTGTTGGCGTCTGCCTTGGACAGAACGTCCACAAACACCCCGGTAGAACCGAAAAGGAAGATCGCGGACTTGGCCTCAGCGGGACCAGTGTACTCAATTGCGTTGTACTTGCGGCCCACAGTCTCAGACAGCACATTCCAAATCTGGGTAGTGTAGGCATAGATGTCTGCGGAGTTGACTGGCCGCACGCTCACACCGTCAACAGTAGTGGCAGCAGAGCTGCTCAAAGCGCGGCTGTCAACGCTGCTATTCCTCCTCGAGGATCCAACAGACGAGTTGTCTGCGCTACCATTGGCGGGTGTTTGAGCAGCAGAAGCCTGCTCCAGGGTCGATGTCCCTGCGGCGGCGTCTTGAGCCTCAACACTCTCGGCCACTGTAGCCACACGGCCGGAATCAGCGTAGAGAGTCTGTGCGCCAAGTCCTGGGTTGTGCGAGGCAGCGTTTCCATCAAAATCCAAGACCTTGTTCACGACCTCAACATCCTCCTCGGCGATTGCGTCGTCGTTGGTAGAGTTGGCGGGGTCGAAGAAGTGGATAACACCCTTGCCAGACTTGAGAGCCAAGGCATGCGCGGTAAGAGCAATGTCCTGGGCCTCCTGGAGGGTCTCAGAGTGCAAGAAGGTGAAGCCACACTGACGTATCGAGCTGATAACGGAGTAATCGGGGAACGGAGTGGGTTCCAGGGCAACGTGGAGGACCAAGGGGTAGTTCGCCAGGCGGTAGAGGTGAGTAATTGAGGAGAGGAGAACCGAGGAGCTGGCGACGGCAGAAACGGTGCTACCGTTCTGGAGCGGGTAGAAAGCCGAGAGGAGAGGGTCTTCGTTGTTCCGCACGGTCACAATCTATACAAAACCACCAGGTTAACGTTGCCCTAATTGACAGGACCGGTTTGAGTCACATACCTCCGGAGCACCCTTGGACAAGACATTCTGAGTCTTGTTGGCCTTGAGAGCCTTGAGCGACTTGGAGAACAGCGAGTCTGTCTGCAGGGCAGGCTGGACGGAGAGGACGATATCGCTGGTCAAGTATGCGACTCTCGCCACTGATATCACTCATTAGTACTCGATTGGCACCGGACAGACACAGCCCATTGACAGCTGTCAAGAGGGGGGGGGTCATACCTGCTTCACCGGCAGTCGAAACGGACGCCATACTGACAATTGCTGGCTGCGCTTCACACAGCGCAGAGAAGGTGGGATGAACTTATATAACGGAGGGGTACGGATGTCACCGCATACAGTGAGAAGAAAGAGAAAAAGACGAGGGAGAAGAAGGGGGGAAAAGGGAGTGAATCGAACAATTCCCGTGCCTTCTTGTACTCTTAATTCCAGTCAATCAAACCCCGACTGGAGGGAGAAAAAGGGAAGAAAATTGGAAAAAAAAAGTCCATAAAAGTTCAAGGCGGCCGGTGCTTCTCCGCCATCGGGATTGGGTCAGCAGTGATTTGATTGGCCCGCGTTCGATCACGACATCGATGCAAACCCCGTCGCCCGCAGATGCAAACATTGCCGTTTTCGGCCGTGCGGGGAGTCATGTGATCATACATGCAACGGCAATTGCTCGGTGTCTGCATGGAGTACTGCCAAATAAGGGTGCAGTAGCCCTCTGACAGAGTACACATCACGCCATTGCTGTGGCCAGTCTGGTGCATGCGATTAGCACATAGAAACTATTCGGACTGGATGATGCAATCGTAGATCCGCCGTTACAACTGGTATGTCAGGCTACGTACTCGGGCGAGATGCAAGGATCACTAGGTGGACATGTTCAAAATGTACTCAGATGTTCGATATTCATATTAAAACAATGACATGCGGCATGATGCAATAGATAAACCCTTCCAAACGCCAAATAGCCAGACCCATATAAAATCCAAATGATAGAATCAATGTACAGATGCCAGATCTGAACGGATCGGTTCTAGAAGGCATATGCCCTCCCCAAGCCCTCCCAAGCACCGGCTGCGTTGATCAATCAATAACCAACGCCCGCCTTTTTCCAGAAGTGACAAATAACCAAAAGCAAAAAAGGCATCGAAGCATGTATGTGAAGAAGATGCAGTCCTGCTAATCTGTCTGCCACCCCTCTCCGAGTCATACTAGATCATCTCGGCATATATAGGAACAATTAAGTGAAAATATTAACCAGGAATAAAATGTCATCATGGAGACCTGAGCTGTCAACTACCGGCCAACAGGATGTTCGTAAATGGGTTGTTGCAAAGCCGCGGCTTCAAACGCAGACTGTGACGGCTGGGGAGGACCGGTTCCCGATCGGCGACGGCGCTCCCGTTCGAGAGGGCCAGGCAGCTCGGTGTTCTCGTTGCGGTTCTGGAACTTCCGACCGATGTTGACCATCCAGATACCATCGTCATCTTCACCCATCCAGTAGTTGCGACCGATGCTGATCATGGTCCGGCCAAGCTTGCCCTTCCAGCCTTGGCCATCCGGGCTGTACGGCGAAAAGGGTTCACGGTCGATGTCGGCCACGCTACCCACACTCGCCATGGACGTGTTGCGACTGTGCGTCGGAAGTGAAGTGTGACGGGGAAGGGCGACATAGAGGCGCAGGGTCTGACGGGCAAAGGCGAGCATCACGAAAACGAAGTAGAATCGCATCGCCCACAGCATGCAGATGAAGAAAATGCTCGGGGCACTCTCTGGTTGAGTGACCGCATTGCCAAGACCATCTGATGCCGATCGAGCGGTGCTGCCGGCGGCACTTTCGGCGTAATAGTAACTGGCACCGCTTTGGGTGTCATCGTACTTGGGGCTGGTGAAGCCGGCGGTTTGCGCAATGGTCTCACTTCCGGGGCCCGACGCGGAGCCATTATCGTAATGCTGAGAGACGACGAGGAACCAAGTCACACCAAAAGCGGCAGTGTAGGCCGCGTTGACAAGACTGTCAAAGGCGTACAGGTAGGCGAGCGCGAGGCACTGGAGAGGCGATTGTTTGCGGATATGCGGGAATAGGACTGTTGCGACACCGAGAGCGATCAGGGAGTAGAGGTACATGGACAGTTGGACGGGCGAGAGGTGGTAGCCGGTCAGCAAGGCGAGCAAGCCATAGAGACCACTAATTTTATTCAACAGCAAGGACAAGGTGATGAGAGAAGCACCAGTCTCAAGGCTCATGACATAAAGGAAGGTCTAGCGGTGGATGACGCCACGAGGCGACCGGAACGTTAGCTTACAGGCACGAATAGGGCATTTTTCGCTTGACCGCCAAAGCATGAACATACCTCTGGCCGCGGGATGCGGAGGAAACGCGATGATAATAAACCCATGATGGGTAGCGTGCCGTCTGATGTACCCGGAAGAGGGATAAAAACACACAGGTCTCAAGGAAAGCTCAAAAAGGAAAGCGATGGAACAGGCACAAGAAAAATAAGAGAGGACAAGACAGGATAAGAGCAAGAGAAAAGGAAGAGAGAGAAAAAGAGAGGGAGAAAGTGGAAAACGAGGTTACGAGGCTGAAAGTCACGCCGGGCAGAAAAAAAAGGCTTGGCACTGGGAGGTCATCAGGGGCTTCCGGGCGATCCGCTGTGGAGATGATCATTACCTGTTTGGGAAAGTGACGTTGTATATGCCTTGGGAATTAGGCAGACAGCACGTGTCTACCTGTACAAATATGGAATGTGTATAAACACAAGCATAGTACGGAGTAGTGAGTGCTAATAACAGAAATATAGGTGCCTTGTTGAAAGATTAAGCCCCTGATGGCTTAGTTACGTTACTTGTATAGATATCACTGCCTCACTATCACAGCAATTAACTGAATACGAATACGAGTACGCTCCGTTTCAGAAACACCCTAAATACCAGCCACAGATTACTTGTATGCTCAAGTGCAACACCCAGCACAATGATGTATTTACGATGCATGTTCCTCGCTTCTGTACATCAAGATCCAAATCGTGTTAGACATCAAGATCCTTACATCATGCAAGTCATCAACATAGAATTCCAGAAGCAAAACCCCCTGTAACCAAAAAAAAGAAATCGAATCGAAGAGCAAGGTGAAGCAAGGAAATGCCCGACGCTAACATCAGTAAGCATAGTAAATCTGTAGAGAAACGCCCCAGTTCGTCCATCCTGACACGTGAAAAGTATAAGAAAAAAGGGCCATCAACAGCAATGAATAAGACTTGAAATTTAGACACACGCTATCCACGGGAAGTGTGAGATGAGGAAGCCAAAATGTACACGGGAAGAAAGAATGTAGAGCATTATAGAGATCTCAATTCTTGTCGTTGAAAATCCTGGGACATCATAGTCGCAAATGGTCATGGTCATGACACGCCGACTTGGGGGAGGGTTGTTCAGCAGGCGCATCCGTCGTTGCTCGTGGTCTCCTTGGGGGTAATATTGACATCGATCACTGTGAAAGGTTGGTGGGTACTCTTGGGCGACAGAAAAGAAAGAAAAGGAACTTACTTTGGTTGTTTTGGTTGGCGCCCTCGCCCTCCATTCCGGGGAGCGCTTGGGCTATCCGCCGGAACAGTTGTTTCACGTTATGACCAACCTTTGCACTGGTCTCGATAAACATCAATCCATTCCTCTTCGCCTCCTCTTCACCTTGGGCTGTTGTAACCTCCCGCTTGTCGTTAAGGTCCGTCTTGTTGCCCACCAAAACAATAATCACGTCGTTCCCACGTTCCCCGCGTACATCATCGATCCATTTCCGTGTGTTCTGGAATGACTTGGCGTTAGAGATGTCGTAAACAACCACGGCGACGCTCGAGTCTCGAATGTATGAAGGAATCAACGATCGGAAACGTTCCTGGCCGGCGGTATCCCAAAGTTGCAGACGCACGGTTCTGTCTTCAAGGTACATAGTCTGCACGCATAACAAGTCAGCTTATTTTTCGCTACACAAAATATCCAGAGGCGCTAAAGAGAGGCAAATGACGAAGGGTCGTCGCCACGGCCAGGGGTCGGAGATGCGGTGTACCTTTGACAAAAAGTCGATACCGATGGTCGCTTGGTATGTGTTATCGAACGAGTCGTACATGAATCTTGTGATCAAGGATGTCTTTCCAACTGCGCGACCATGTTAGAACATGTTAGAACCACATGTAAACAAATTCTCCGTAACAGCGATCGGTTGACTCGGGGCGTTCATACCACTCTGTTCACCCAAAAACACCAACCTAGAACTCGATTAGCAACCACATTGACTCATGACACAAATATGCGACGCGCGAAAGACATACTTGAACTTCTTCAAAGGGTTCGAATACGTCCCTACCCCGGTGGAAGCCATGGTGTAGATAATCGCAGAGAATCAGGGGTAGATTGTATAGAGACTGGCGGGGGAGACAGCGAAAACGAGAATAGATATGCTGGAGGAACAGGTATTATAAAATAAATTAGAGAATAAGTTGAAAAGAGATTCCCGACCAGCGAGGAAGGCTGTAGGCAAAAACGTTGGAGAAATCACTTCTGCCTTCTTAAATGGACGACGAATAGAGGACAAAGTGAGCCATGGATCAATTCGGTCTGGGGAATTCTACTTTAGTCCAAGTAAGCAGTCCGAACGACATCAACCCGTCGCCGCTCTCGCCGCCTTCCCGACGGATTAATTCCGGCCCGACCGCGACCACGGCCAGCTTGCTTGACACGACGATATACAGAGGAGAGCCGAGAGGACTATACAGCTTCATTCTTCACGACTTCTTAACGGACTCTGCTTTTTCTTTGCGGTGCCGCTGCGCGGATTGATTTATTCCATTGAATTACCGGACCGGTCGTCACCATGGTTCTCGCCTATCCAGCAGGTGCAGCAACCGTGTCACTCCTCGTGATAGGCGGCTGTGAGTATCGCATCTCTCGCTTATGGGCCTTGTGAGCTAACGATATGTTTTATAGATATGCTGTTTACCGGGGATGGCGAATCATTTAACGTACGATGCGATTTATCCAACACTCATCGCGCTCTTGCTAACTCGTCTAGATTGGCCAATTCCTCGAAGATGTGTCTCCATACGCTTGGGCAAACATTGGTATTGGGATGTGTATAGGTTTATCGGTGGTTGGCGCGGCATGGTACGTTTCCGGGTCTTGCTCTCGAGGAGATGATAATGGTTGACGGTTTGGAACAGGGGTATCTTCCTAACCGGCTCATCGATCGTTGGCGGAGGTGTCAAGGCGCCCAGAATCCGGACAAAGAACCTGATCTCAATTATTTTCTGCGAAGTCGTGGCTATTTATGGTGTGATCATGGCGATTGTCTTCTCGTCGAAACTCAACCTCGTCACCGACGAGGAGATCTTCTCTGGCACCAACTACTACACTGGATATGCGCTGTTCTGGGGAGGAATCACTGTCGGCATGTGCAATCTGATTTGCGGTATCTCCGTTGGTATCAATGGAAGTGGTGCGGCTTTGGCCGATGCCGCTGATGCAAGCTTGTGCGTTACCCTACTCCGTTCCTGTTTTCTGTCTTGCGAGCACGCTAACCAAGTGCACTCACGCGAACAGGTTCGTCAAGATCCTTGTTATCGAGATTTTCAGTTCCGTTCTCGGCCTCTTCGGGTTGATTGTTGGACTGTTGATGGCAGGGAAGGCGGCAGATTTCGGTGCTCAATGAGCGGTTCAATCTTTACAAGAGACCGCACTGCATTGAGCAAAACAGCACACATTCTGTATGAATTTCGTTTTGTTTCTTTTTCTCTTGCTTTATATACATCACGAGGCGTATGGGTTGTAGAGCTTTGGGTACCTGCGATTTGCATGAGATCTGAGTGGTGTACAGTAACGAACACTGGGAATATGGGTAATGCTACTTGGATCAGGTTTATTGTTCTGTCATGGCTTGTAATGCTTGTAGTTCTCTGTACTGTGGATATAGAATGATGGGACTGATATCAACCACCGCCGCCATTCCTTATCTCTCCCTCACTTTTCCCCGCGTCTACCAAAGTCCCATTTGCGACAACCACAACACAATGGCAGAAACAAAGCCTAAGCCAGCGATTCTGATCGTATCAGATACCGCATCTCAGAATCCAGCATCTGATAAAACAGTGGATGCTCTCTCGACATCATTTGCCGCAGCAGGGCCGGGTGCCTGGGAGTCGCCCGTCACCAAGATTGTACCGGACAGTGTGCTTGATATCCAGCGAACCATTTGCGATTGGACAGATGGACCGAACTGGTTTAATTTGATTCTTGTCAGCGGCGGAACAGGGTTTGCAGCTAAGGATAATACGCCCGAGGTTGGTTGGTACATCTATATATGGCTTTCATGTGCTAACTGGACCAGGCCGTATCACCTCTCATCCATCGCCATGCGCCGGGTCTTGTGTGGGTCAAGAGACCCTATCACTTCAATAACGGTATAATGACTGATTAATACAGACACGGCATGATTGCGGCGTCTTTGCAGGTTACGCCTTGTACGTGCGAACCTCCCGCAATGTTCTTGCTAAACTAACAAGCTGCAGTTGCCATGATGTCTCGACCAGTGGCAGGTGTTCGCGACAAATCGTTGATCATCACACTACCAGGATCGCCAAAAGGAGCCAAAGAGAATCTCGAAGCAATCATTAAGCTTCTGCCGCATGCGTGTATCCAAGCAGCTGGAGCAAACTCCAGAGCTATCCATGCGGGTGGCGTTAAGAAGCTTGAAGCCGATGCAGGCGTATCTTCTGGAGGGCAGGGCCATTCCCACTCTCACGACCATCATCATCACCATCATCACCATGACCACGGCCACGGCCACGCAATTCCAAAACCGCATACATCGCCCTCAGAGCGACCACAATCCAACGATCTCAATGGAGCACCAAGCCGGCGGCACCGTTCATCACCGTACCCAATGCTCTCTGTGGACGAAGCACTTAAGTTAATCAGCGAACATACCCCTGGACCCGAAGTGGTTGAAGTACCCGTGACGACTGCGCTCGTCGGTTCCGTGGTGGCTGAAGATGTCTACTCCAGAGAGGCCGTTCCAGCATATCGAGCTAGCATTGTCGATGGCTACGCAGTCATCGCTCCGGAGTCGCCTACATCCGGCCCAAGCACAAAAGGAGTATTCCCCGTGGCTTCTGTCACGTATGCCAACGCAGGTGGAGTTCTATCGCCTCTCGAATCCGGAACCATTGCCAGAATCACAACCGGAGCACCTCTCCCAGCCAACGCCAATGCGGTAGTCATGGTTGAAGACACGGTCCTCGAATCAACAACTCCAGACGGAAACGAAGAAGCAACCGTCGAAATCCTAACCGGAGACATCAAACCAAAAGAGAACGTCCGCGAACCAGGCAGCGATGTCGCACTAGGATCTCGAATCCTTCAAAAAGGCGACCAAATCACATCCATCGGCGGCGAGCTCGGCCTCCTAGCCGCAACAGGAACCAAAACCGTCAAGGTCTTCAAGAAGCCCTGCATCGGTGTCCTGAGCACCGGCGACGAACTCGTCGAGCACAACGCCCCTGTTACTCTCCAAGGCAGCCAGATCCGCGATTCCAACCGCCCCTCTCTCCTATCCTGTCTGGCGTCCTGGGGCTTCCCAACAGTCGACCTGGGAATCGTCCGCGACACCGCAGGCGAACTCGAGCAATCCCTCCGCGATGCACTAAGAGGAGTCGGACAAACTGACTCATCCAACATCGACGTAATCGTCACCACCGGCGGCGTATCGATGGGCGAATTGGACCTCCTCAAACCCACCATCGAGCGCTCCCTAGGCGGAACTATCCATTTCGGACGTGTTTCCATGAAACCAGGCAAACCGACTACTTTCGCTACCATACCTTTCAAACCTTCAACAACAACAACATCATCACAATCAGAACGTCAGTCAAAACTCATATTCTCGCTCCCTGGTAACCCCGCCTCAGCACTCGTCACGCTAAACCTCTTCGTCCTCCCATCTCTGCACAAGTTAATGGGATTGGGCGAACGATGTGCATCTCTTTCTCTACCTGGTACGCTAGGCCTGCCGCTTGTATCGGTCGCCCTGGCGCATCCATTCCCGCTTGACTCCAAACGCACAGATTACCATCGTGCCATTGTTACGGCCTCGCGGACGGATGGGAGATTATACGCTTCGAGTACAGGCTTGGAAGGTGTTGGACAGCGCAGTTCGAGGGTTGGGAGTATGGCTAGTGCGAATGCGCTTGTGGTGTTGCAGCCAGGAAGTGGGAAGGCTGAGAAGGGGAGGTTGGTGCAGGCGTTGATGTTGGGGAATGTCATTGCTGGGGAGTGATGTATTGTAGTATTTGTATGAATTTGGGATGAAAGATGTCATTCATGAAGTGTGAAAGAAGATATTAGTCGAAAATGCTATTCTAAATCAACCCGATCCAAAGAAAACCCGTATATAATGCCAATGCCCGTCTCTAGTCCCAAGCAGCCAAAATAACTCAAGAACAAATCAACCCTTATGAACTTTCCACTCCTTCCTCTTCTGCGCCCTAAAGCCCGCCAGCGTCCCATTCCTCCCCTGCACCCGCGCAATCTCAATAACAATAAACCGCACAAAATCAGTCAACGTCCAGTAACTACTATGCGCACTGAGCATATTCAAATACTGAATATTCAACGGCCCCCCGCCCCCAGAAAGGAAATAATCGATCTGTCCGTTGTCATTGAGAAGGAGCATGCGCTTCTCGGCGATTTCCTCGCGGGTGAAGTCATGTGTTTCAAGTTCGACGTTGGAGGGGAGTTTTGTGACGGCAGCGGGGCGAGTTGGGGCTGTGGCTGTTGTTGGGGCCAAAGAGGGGGCGGAGGACCAGCGGAAGACGCTGCTGAAGGATTGCCAGAAGGAGGCGGAGGCGTTGGGGATGGAGGCGATTTTGAGGGAGTTGGCGAGATCCTTGTCGACGGTGGCGTTGACGCGGTATGCGATTGCTATTCTGTGTTAATGTATGTCCCAAGTAAAGTAAAGGGAAGGACGGCTTACGGTCAGTAGTATGCATGATGTTATAGAGATTGTCCACCGCCAGACACCCATATGTATCCGCCTCTCCGGCAACACCGTTAAGTCGGTCGTCGCCTTCACAGCCGGGTTTATCTCTGCCTCGTCGAGGAAGGAGGTTTGCTATACACTTCGTTAGTCTCGATTATGCGTTGACAGAAGGGGTCTCACGTACCCTTATTCAGAAGCAAAAAGAACCCAGCAGGACTACCACAGACAAACAGGTTTTTGGTATCGAACTCAAAAATGTCAGTGTGAATGCTTGTCGTCGAGAAATCAAAATGGGGTATCTGAGTTGGTTGGTGACTGAGGACGTCCAATGCCATGGCACTTCCAAGCGAGTGTGCGATCAAATGCACACGTCCATGTTGCTGGAACCCAGGGTTGTTTATACACCAGAGGCGATATACGCGGTTCGCTTCTTTAGCAACTGCCTGGATCATCTTCGGCTTGTGATGCGAGAGATAGTAGGGAATATCGAGCATGACATCACTGATTAGAGACCTGACGGCAGGTATAGTCTCGGGTGTAATATCATTCAAGGTAAAATGATTGGCAGCCGGGTCATTGACCGCTTGGGCTTCGAGTGTCGCATCCTCAAGAGATAGGGTGGACCGCCAGTTGACCGGAAGGGCCATGATGCCTCCATGGTCTTGCCGGACATGTGGCCAGACCGGCTCACTATTGAGTTCCATGTTGATGTTTCTTCGAAGGTTATTTATTGCATGTGTGAAATGAAAGCTTTCCATGCGTTCCGACAGCTTCTGTCCTATACCGTGTATTACCAATATCAGATCAGTCGGCGTTGGCCGTGATTCTTCCATCGCACAGGCGTAGCAGATTGGTTGACCACCTGCAGCGGGCATATTCCGGGATTGGGCGCTCCTGAGATAATTTCTCACGTCTACAGGGTTAGGCTTGATTGGATGCAATTGATCCCATTTCCGCCGGCTAAATCCACGAACTACCGGTATACCGATTTGTCGTCCTTTGCGGATTGCACTGAGTGGGCGTCTCCCCCTGGATGCTGACGGAAGCAGACTAGGTCGGAGAATTTGGCCATTTTTTCCATCGACGTAGATGACGCTAGAGTTGATGTGCGGCTTGACGGCTTCCAAAAGTGCAGTCGATCCGCCTGCAGCTCGATTGTCGTCCATAGCGAGTAGATTGAGCCCTGAGTCTAGGGTACCTTCGGCAAGGTTTGTCTCTGAACCAGTTGCTTTTGGGTCTTGGGATGTCGCGGGTCTGCTGGGAGTTTTGGGATCTTCTTTCGGCCACAGCTTGTGCACAATTTTCATTTCGGCGTCTGCACCGTTTTCCACGCAACTATTGAGTTCATCTTGCCAAGTGTCGGTCCAGGGCTTCAAGTATACGTATCCATCCTCAAGCTTGTTCGCCAGTTCCGTTTCCACAGGGAGCATGGTGTTTTTGTAAAACCAGGTGGCACGGAGGACGTTTGATATGTCATGGAGAGGACTCCAGTATATCGGTTTCATCTATTAACGGTCAGCGACATGCATTAGTGAGATAGAGATTAGCAAAAAGACCTTCAGATTTGGTAGTTCGACCAAGTGAAGTCGAGAGATGCCAACAGGAATCTTCGTCTTCATATCTTCATTCCCATGCTGCTCTCCAGTCTCGGTTTGTGCGTCATCCAAAGGATCCTCTTGATGGAGGCTGGGTCTCAGACCGGAGGTATTCGCATCTCGACTACGAGGCGCAGTATGCGTATGCAGCTCCTGGCTTCCAGAGCCCGATTCAAGCGAGCGCCCGAGTGGGCTAGGCGGCACAAGAGGAGCCCTGATGAACGGAGAACCGCTGATGCTTACGTCTCTCGGTGTTGTACGTCCACTCCCGGTGTCTCCTTCGTCCAGAGCTGCCTCATCGTGGGCCGATGAGCTGGTCCTGCATTTTGTGGGCTTAAAGTTGTTGCTAAAGGACGGCCTTTCTCTCTTTCGAATACCGATTGAAGCGCTCCCAGCACCATCGCCTGCCTCATAGCCCTGCCCCGATGGAACACGCGATCCCTCCCAGGAGCTCCGAGGAGCAAGATCCGCACCACTAGCTCTGTAATTGGCCCTGACCTTGGCATTATATGCTTCCAGAGCCGATCCGGAAACATTTGGCGAGTTCTGCTGACTCTCAAACGGACTCGCACCGTCCCGACTCCTAGCTTGCCTTGATCGACCCGCCTCTAAGCCCGGCACCGATATCACGGAGTTCCTCGTTGAAGCCCCTTCTTGAATCCCGACCTTCGAGGCTGCCCTCTTCCCAACAGTTTTTCGCAATGTTCCCCAAGCATCTTCCAACGCGATATGATCTTTGGCGGAAAACGGCTGAGGCGGCGCTCTTTCATTCACCGCACTTTGTGGAGGTGGAAGCGAGCTCGAGGGATCATCGATAGGCAGGGAGGAGGTGTAGAAAAATTGCGGACGCGCTTTGGGAGGTGTTGGCGAGCTGTACCAGGTCGAAAGATCGGGATCGTCATCGGCTAAGAAGCATGTGGAGTTGTAGGTATGGATAGGACCAGCCATGACTGCGTACTAGTATGCGATCAGGAGCTAGAGACAAAGCCTATATAATTAGAAACGTGTTGATTAGTGGTGTGCAATGGCTGCCAGCGAAAAGTCCCCGGCGTTGTCGTGGCAGAAAGGGAGAGCGAGCATTATCGGAAATTCCACGAGCACGGTCAGAAAAGGGACAAGTTTATCATGTCCAAAGCCACAGAATATGCGAAGCCATATCTTGACACCCTCACAGAAGAGGTTTTGCAGTGTCACAAATCAACAACAGGCATCACCAGGAAGTTCGGCCGATTTTCTCGTGATCCGCGCAGGAGCCTATGACGTCGGCCCACGTGCCAGCTGAAGAGAAAAAGCACAACACTTATACGCGTATGCAGTCTATTATTGGAGATATGGGAATGTTCACATAAGAAGGAGATGAATATTCAATAACTATCGCTAAATGGCCTTGGTCAAACTAAAACATCAAATTTTTGAAAACAAAGGGTATCATGGCTAACGAGCCGAGTGCTGACAACTAACAAGCGCTTGACGACCAACACAGAAACAGAAAAAAAGAAACGGAAGAAAAGCAGAGAAAACACGCTAATCGACCAAGATGATTGCCAATTTTCCTGAGGAATCTTCCCGTTATCCACCAAAACCCACACTGGCCCCGCGACTAACATTTAGTCCGGTACATCCTCCGGCTGTCCTCCGAGCATCTGATACTGGAGGACGTCTTGGAGGTTCTGGAGCCCGATAGAGTGCTATTATCAGAGCCTGACCGATAGCTCTGGTCCTTCATCAACGATAATGTGCGCACCTGGAGCTCTTCAAAGTCCAGGAAAGTCTCGCGTGGAGCATCGAGCATATCGAGAATCTCATGGATGTCGTGCAAATGTTTCCGAATGACGCTGTCGGGAACGCAAAAAGTGCGGACGCTCATGTCATTGGCGAGGGCTTTCCAGTTGTTCATATTTGTGACGAGGCGAATGGGATTCGTTGAGCATTCCCCGTTGAACTGCAGAGTTCGAAGGTTGTCGTTAATTAGTCGACGTTGAGTTGCCTGGTCAAAGTGGAACTCCACAACTTGCGGCCGGTTTTTGGATCCCCAGAAGCTGTTGATCTTCTTGATCGACTCGGCCGAGAGACGGCCTTCGCCGTGTTGTTGGACTAGGAAGTCGTTGGCGCTGAGACAAATCATGACCTCCAGGTCGGAGTACAGTTTGGACTGTGTTGCAGGATCCAAGGAGACGCGGGCAGCCAGGTTCAGAGACGATTTTGAACGGCGGAGAGCTGCAGAACTGAAACGGTTTGGGTAGGCTTTTGCCATGTCGTCGGCCTGCATTTGTGGTTAGCGAAATCCAGGAAGTTCCAAGGATCGAAGGAAAACTTACGATTTCGCCTACTTGCTTCTTGATTTTATTACCGATGCCCTTGAACACCATGGAAGTCCGCTTCTCTAATGGCAGCGCGTGCACATCTGTCGAACATCCGAGCCAACCATCTTGCCCGAAGAGTTTCTTGTGGGGGTACTTCGATGGATGGACTTTTGGGCGGAGATCCGGCTCGAGCTCGTCGGAATCGGAGTCGTCCTCTGGCTCTTCGATGGGTGACAGCGGCCGCTTATCATTGTCAGCATAATCCAAGGCGGCAAATTGGCTTCTCTGTCCGTCGTACTCCGCGTACGTCGGTTGATGCTCGCTTCCCTCGTGGAGGAAGACCTGAATCTTCTTCGTCTCATCGAGGTCGAGGTGTGATCGAAAGTGACGGATTGAAGGAGAAGAGGATATTTCGAGAGGGCGGAAGGAATCTTGACTCGAGGTGATCGATGCCAGAGAAGGTGACCTTGCTGAATCACTTGAACCGCGCGAAGAGAATGTCAGAGACGATTCTTCGGAATCTGCATTCCAGAAGTTCTCATACACTTCATAGAAGGGATTGAGCTTGGCGATGTCTTCATACATGAGTCTAGCGCTTCTATTAAGAGTTAACGGATATGCATTGCAGCTTGCACGGACCGGCGAGACTTACTCTCTGTTGAGCCTAAGGGATCCCTCATAGCTGTCTCTTTGACTGGACATGGTCGACATGGTCGATATGGTCGACAAGGAAAAAACGGATGATACAGATGAAGCAGGACGAATCCGTTCGAAGTTAGGCTTCATGGAAGGGATACGATTTCTGAGAGACTCCATATTGGGCGAAGAGGTGAGATTCAGAGTACTGAGAGTTGATGGGACTTGACGAGGATGATGCGATGAGGACTAAAGATTCTTATATACTAGAAGCTGCCTATTGTCTATTGCGTCAGAAGACAATATCTCTATTCAGGCCATTGAGAGCTCAATGGCGGCCTGGTCATGAGGATGCCTTGATTCGGCGACAATAGCGTTACCCCGGATTGACAGTGAATATCAGACTCAACAATAGGTAGCTCTTATTGAGAACTCGAACAATAGCAATCTGTTTATTGAGAATTTATTGTCTATTGTCTATGATCTTTTCTACTTCTTGTTTCTTCATCATTCTAGTATCTCGCGTAGTCTGCCGTCTCGATCACTTACGTAGCCCTACACGTCCTCGTGCCTAAACAGGCAACAATAGTCTATTATCTGATGAGTTGAGCATGAATATCTCTCATCAGTTACCAGAATTCTACATAGTATTCGATACTCCGTAATCGGATGTATTATCCTCGATGGAGTCTCCATAGTTCATGTGTACGGAGTATATACATACCTGCCTCAGGCACCGACCCCAGCACAATCACCGTACAGACCATCCGTGCGGGATCCAACGATCGACGCTTAATTCTATTCCAGCAAACAATAGCATCGGATGTCATATCGGGCTCTCCCAGACGCATTCTGCCAGCGTTTCTGCCGCGCGCCGGTGTACCGGTCACGTGCCACTCCACTTGCCGACACCCTTAACCGCGCAGCGCCGGAAGCGACGCCGGCATTCCTCCTCCCCGCACAAATGTTCCCCGTGGCGCTGTTCCGAGCTTCGCTGGACTCCAACAAGAGCCTCTGTGGATTCATGCTGACCGACGAACCACAGCGTCGTAGTTGGAAAGAAAGCATGTTCTTCGTTATGTCTCCAGCCGACTGCGAATGCCGGTGTGGCTCTCCGTCATCCACTGCCAGGCCCGCTTCTCCCCAGAGCCTTTGTCTATATATCAGTCCTCAGCCCAACGTCCTGAGATGATGTCCTTCTACTCTTACTATCAGTTTTTTCCTGGATTTTGTGTGTCATATAGCTGGGAGGAAAGCTACTATTCTATCAAATTTTCTCTTTTGATTTTTTCTTGGCTCCTGATTGATCTACTTCCCCACAGTTCCTATATCCCGGATACACCGAGTATATCATACGATTGCTGCGAATCGTACCACTCCAACCATGACCGAAACCCAGGAAAAGTATGATATCGTGATCGTGGGCGCTGGCCCCGTGGGTATCCTGCTGTCGCTTTGCATGTCGCGATGGGGATACAAGGTTAAGCACATCGACAACCGCCCCGTGCCGACGGCTACTGGTCGCGCCGACGGTATTCAGCCCCGGTCGGTCGAAATCCTTCGCAACTTGGGCATCAAGCGCAAGATTATGGCCTACAACCCCGCCAAGGTCTACGATGTCGCTTTCTGGGATCCTTTGCCCAATGAGCAGGGTATCAACCGCACCGGCAGCTGGCCCAGTTGCCCTCGTTTCATCGACACCCGCTACCCCTTCACGGCTCTTGTCCACCAGGGCAAGATCGAGCGTGCTTTCTTGGGGGAGATTGAGAAGGCTGGAACCACCGTCGAGCGGCCTTGGACGATCTTCGGTTTCAAGAACGATGGTGCCGACGAGACCTACCCCGTTGAGGTGCAGCTCAAGTCACTGGACACCAACGTGATCCAGAACATCCGTACCAAGTACCTCTTCAGTGGTGAGGGTGCTCGCAGTTTTGTTCGGGAGCAGCTTGGAATCAAGATCCACCACAAGGACCCCATTTCGTACGTCTGGGGTGTGATGGACGGTGTTGTGCGCACCAACTTCCCCGACATTGAGGTGAGTCGTTTCTTCAGTCCTTGTGAGAGGACATAACTGACTGTATTAGACAAAATGTACAATCCACTCCGATGCCGGGTCTATCATGGTTATCCCCCGTGAAGACAACATGGTCCGTCTCTACGTTCAGATCGCCTCGTCGACAGACCCCGACTGGCACCCCCGGAAGACGGCATCCGCCGAGGAAGTCCAGGCTACCGCAAAAAAGATTCTCAAGCCATACTGGGTGGAATGGGACCGTGTCGAATGGTACTCGGTCTACCCGATCGGTCAGGGTATCTCCGAGAAGTACACCTTGGATGAGCGTGTCTTCATGGGTGGTGATGCCTGCCACACCCACAGCGTATGTCTCACTATTATCCCCCGTCTCCAGAATAGCATGCTAACCCCGTAAAGCCCAAAGCTGGTCAGGGTATGAACACTGCCTTCCACGACGCACTGAACATGGCTTGGAAGATCCACGCCGTGGAGTCGGGATTCGCCAACCGCTCGATTCTGAGTACCTACGAAAGCGAACGCAAAGACATTGCCGAGATGCTGTTGGACTTCGACGCCAGGTATGCTGCCTTGTTCTCCAAGCGCCGTCCTACTGCCGGTGAGGTTGGTGAGGCCAGCCACACCTCCGTCAAGGCTGGCGGTGAGGAAGACGAATTCGTCAAGACCTTCAAGTCGTCGTGCGAGTTCACCAGTGGGTATGGTGTCGCCTACAAGCCCAACGTTTTCAACTGGGATGCCAGCCACCCCGCTCAGTCTCCTCTGTTCAACTACCCTGGCGTGCGGTTGACCCCTGGTCGCGCATTCACTCCGTCGACCGTTACCCGCCTGGCAGACGCCAACTTCGTCGCCTTGGAGCAAGAGGTTCCCGCCAACGGAGCCTTCCGGATCTTCGTCTTCGCTGGTCTCCAGGACAAGACCAAGCAGGCGATTGCAGACTTCGCTGCCAACCTGGAGAAGGACCGGTCGTTCCTCTCCGCCTACCGGAGGCCGGACATCAAGGACGTGTCTTTCTTCGAGCGTCACTTCCCGCACTCGACGAACTTTACTCTGAACGTGGTCTACGCTGCGCAGAAGAACCAAGTCGACGTGAACTCTATTCCGCAGATCCTCCGGGATTACCACCACCACCTCTACGCCGATGACATTCCCGACATCCGCGTTCCTCAGGCTAAGTACGCCGCCCACGAGAAGCTCGGCTTCGATCCTGAGAAGGGCGGTGTTGTCGTCACTCGTCCTGACAGCCACGTTGCCTGTGTTGTGCAACTGGTTGAGGGCAGTGGCACTGTCGATGCACTGAACGCTTACTTTGGTGCATTCTCGTCTAAGCCATTGGGCCAGGATCAGCAGCAGAGCCGGCTATAGAGGCTATGAGTGATTATGCGATTTCCTTGCTTTTTTGTAATCTAGGGGCTGAGCTCCGTTTGTCTCCGTTTGTCTGATGTGATGTATTTTTCTTTTTTCAGGCGTATAGCCTTGGCATGATTGGCGTTGTATATACCTCGTACATGAATAGCATATTATTAGTACAGAGACTTTGTTCGTATTTGATTGTAGTTGTTTCAGTAGTAGTAGCTGCTTCATGCCTCAGGAATAAACCCGTACCTTCACGTGGACGAGAGCGACTACATCACCACCCCGCATCGAACTTGAACTTGTACATCAGACCGATAATACACAGCCAACACGATGCTATCACTTGTACTTTCTGCAGAGCTCTCAGGGTAAGTAATTGGCTTTCTCTTCTGTTTCTATTTATTCTCAAGGTCCTCGTACTCCACAGTGGGAGTTTATTGAGCTGTTCATGCTGGATCTTCTCCCCGCACCAATTCGTCCACCTTTTTTTTTTTTTGCGGTGCAAAGAGGAGGCTAACATGCCATAGAGTCAACCAACTCCGTCCTCAGGACACAGAGGACGACCCTTATTTCTACACGTTCAAGGTACAATGTACGTCATGTCGAGAGGTGCATCCGAACTGGATCAGTTTTACGCGGTTTGTACGTCTACATCTACCTCCCACGTCGCCATTAATCCTTGGAGCAGAGAAAGATACTGACAAGTTGGTACAGGAACAGCATGAAATCCCCGGAAGTCGCGGAGAAGCCAACTTTGTGTGGAGATGCAAGCTGTGTCAGGTACCTCCCCTCTTGTCCTTAAAAAAACACCTTGGGAGGAAAACGAGCTGACAATCTAGAAAACTCACTCTGCTACCGTGACAACCGGCCCGAACGCCTACGAAGCCGACGAGAAGCGCAAAGGTCAAAAGATCATCGATCTCGACTGTCGGGGATTGGAATTTATCGAGTTTAAGCCGGATGTACGTCCCCGCGTCTCTCCCCCTGTCATATCTTCCAAGAGCAACAAGGATAGCGGGATATTTGGAATACGTGGAAGCTCACATGCATACAGGGCGAATGGGAAGCCAAAGGAGCCGAGTCGTCGACGCCGTTTACCGGGATTGATCTGTTGGATGAGTGGTATGATTATGATGAGAAGGCGGGGGATGAGGTTTCTGTTAAGGAGATTAATTGGGACATTGTGAAAGTATAACTGTCATGAGGAATAAAACGGGAGCATTTATGGAGTTGGAGTCTGGCTGTGTACTTCTAGTCGGGTTGAGAGTGATGGCTTGTATGACTACCCACGAGAAATTGACACGACGCTCAACTATGTTAGAGCCACGCATGAGAGCAATAGCTATGAAATAAACAATAGAAGAACCTAAGAAATAGAAAGAAAAAAAAAAAAAAAAACACCAGAGTAACACCCCTACACCCATCCTACAGCTCCAAGGCGGTGTAAAATTCTGCCCCGTGATTGGCCAACTACCTCGAGCAGCATCTTTCGCAGCTCTTGACTGCACCAACAGCCAGCAACAGATACCAACCACCCTCACCACTCCTTCCAACGAGCACGCGACCGGCGACCGATTTTCGATTCCGACCGAGGAGGATTTTGTCTAGCGATACTGTGGTTGAATTGTCTATACGATACGATTTGCACACGCGGTGGTCGGACGAGACAGGATAACAGATCTTCACCGTCAGGATGAGTGTTAGTCCACCTTTTCTTTGATTTATATATCTATGCGATATGGAAAATAGAAGCTAATGATACGCAGTTTCAACCCGTCAACCCGCGGCCGTTTTTGCAGGCTAGGTACGCCGACTTTCTTTTCTCCCCGTCACGGACGCGAACGCGACCACAGCCGAAGAACCAGAACAGAGACTAACGAGAATGACAGGGTCGGAACGGAAATGATCGTGCGCCTGAAATGGGGCCAGACGGAATACAAGGGCACACTGGAGAGCATCGACTCGTACATGAACGTGCTGCTGCGGGATACGGAGGAGTTTATCGACGGGAAGAACACAGGATCACTGGGGTTGGTGTTGATTCGGTATGCTTCCTTTACTAGAGATGGGTGATTAGGGTGTGCGTATACTAATGGACTGCAGGTGTAACAATATCCTGTGGATGGGGTCGGCGGACAGTGTTGAGATGACGGAGTTGGGGCTGAAGTAGTGCATATAAACTCATCATGGGGGATTTTTTTTTTTTTTTTTGTTTTTTTTACTATTATGTTTGTCATGTTCTATTCCTGGCAATGGCGTTCAAGGCAAAAGTGATCACATCTGGTGACTTTCCATTCCCACTACAGAGTACATTTACTTGTATTACTCAATAGCGGAGTCGTAAGCTTGCCACTGTTGACAGTACAATTCGAAGGGCTGCTATCAGGGTCTATCTATCCGTCTATCTATTAAGTGTATTTTATCTCCACGTAAACCCTCCACCATTCCTTCATGCAAAAATCCAGTCAATCACAGATCTCCAGCCCTGCAATCTAACGTCATGGCCCATGTGTGTAGAGTGACATCCTTCGCTATAAGCCTTCCATATGTTCCCCATAGATCTGCTGTGTCTTGGGATGTACCTATACATAGTTGCGCATAGACCGCCAGCCCCTCCGACGTCATATTTCTTGTTGGTAGTGTGCATGTGCAGAAAGAGATTTTCATGTTTCGCTAGATATGTGTGGGGAACCCTTGCGCTGTACAAGTACTCTACAATATTTGTAGTACAATGTACATAGTAGAGGACGAGGGGCGGCCGATCATGGCTTTGAGAGGAAAAAGGGAAAAAGAAAAATATGGTTCGACCGGGGAAATCCAAACAATAATAGGGATAGGCGCTGGAACCATGGGGCAGCCCTCAAACGCCGTTCTATTCTTATTCTGTCTAGTTCTGGGGAGTACGTACATCCAGGGTACCTCGACGTACATATACCCTGTCCCTGTCGGTCTTGGGGCCGTTGCTTATTCTTATTCTCGCCCTCATCCTCATCCTCATCCTTAGCCTTTTCAGCCCTCGACTCAGCCTGACTACACTTCCTTTTATTATCCCTCATCTTTATTCTCCATCATCTCTATTCTCAACTCTCGACACAACACACAACAATCCATACACACTGAATGAACTCTCAATAAACCAAGAAAATGTCCTCCAAATTCGTTGAAATCTTCCCCGAAGACGACAACCCCCGCGCCTCCCCCAGGCGCATCTCCTCCTTCGACGTCCGTCTCGAAGACGTCCTAGCACACCATGAGGCTTCGATAGGTTTCCGGTCACGCTCCTCCACATTCTCCTCCAGCAAAGCCAGTCTAGTCGACAAGATGCCAACCTACGCATCGTCGTCAACCATCTTCTCCTCATCAACATCCGCACCGTCAAGTTCGTCGTCGGGGTCATCAGCATCGGGGCCAACATCGGCAACATCTTCGCCCCCAAATCCGTCCTCGTCACGGTGGAAACGCCTCAGCAATACTATTCTCGGCTCGCGGCGGGCGTCGTGACTATTTGCCTTGCCTGTTATCTGCCTGCTTGCATTGTGCATACATATATATTTTTGTATATATGCGCGCGTTACGATCTGACGAGTCTATGTGTTGCTGCATAGAGACACGCATACACACATACACATACACATACACATACACATACACATACAACGCCTTCTCTATTCTTGGGAATGCCGAAAGTTTCCCAGACACACCCTCCTTTCCCACAGCTGCTGCTGCTCCTTTTCGGTTCGTTTTTGTCTTTCGGCTACGGTGATGGGAAAAGGCAAAAAGAATTCCATGGGTCACGCTCGGGTTAAACTTTGACGGATTCGAGAATGGGTTTTTGGACACGTGAGATGATTACGTTGCTTTCCTTTTGGGGGGGGGGTTTCCTTTTACTTTTTTCTTTGGTGTTGGGTGGGCGGTTTTATGTTGGATGATTCATTCCTTTGATACCCTTTTGTTGGAGTACTTGTATATACACGGCCATGGAGTACAAACAAACAATTCTTTCTATTCTTTCTACATCCCTTTCAGCTTAATCTAAATCCTCAAGCCAGACTCTTCTAGACTCAAAACTCACCACAAAGTATAGTACTCTGCACCCCATAAAGAACCCTTAGCGTACGATAGTCCCCTCACTAGTCCCTGACCCAAACTCAGCACCACCAATACCGAGTCAATCCCAGCCTACAATAATGAACCGGTGGATCCCGCAGATCCAAATCCAGGGCCCGAGTTTAGTAGTCCCCCTCGGGAGTCCACCGTCGCAAAAAATCTTGAATTGTTTGGCTGGTTGGAATTGGCGGTCACTGAGAAACTGGAAAACAGGTTTTAAATAGAATTCAGTCGTAAGTCGTTGGATGGTGTTCCGTGGTACGGAATGGATGGGTTTTTGTGTGGAAGACAGATTGATTGGATCTTCGGTTTTTGTGTGTAATAGATTACATGGATAGACCACATATGACAATACCAATACAAATACACACGCTATGCCAACCGTTGCATAGGGGTATGTATGTACTTTATGTACATCAATAGCCCTCTCCTAGTGCTACGGAGGAAAAAGCAACAATTGGCGCATGAAAGATTGTACTAGGACTATAATGTACACGGACCGTCGAGATCAACCCCCCCCCGTCGCTCCTTGGAAACGTTCCTCTCCACTATCGAGGCCACATACTGTACCTAGCACATTTTGTCCCGGTAGCCGAGTGATCCGTGAGGTTGAGGGACTACCGTGGTTTGGTCAGGAGGGCGTTGTCGGTGCTGATTGATGCTTAGGGGATGATGTGCGCTGGGAGGGGTCTAGGGTACGGAGTAGTCGATAGATTGTTTTTACTATGTAGTGCACAGGCAGATAGATAGACAGCGCTTGAATAGGATAAAATGAATTCATCGGCGTATAGTGATTTCTATACTTATAGTTAAGAGATACTACGACAATGCTTTGCATTAACACATCTTAGACGAGCGTCGAACCAACGGCCATTACTTCTCCTCTTGGTTCCGAAACGGGAAAGATTGTTCCCTATTGGCGCTTGTTATGCCACTAGGTTGCTGTTTGTGTATTCTTTGGTACGTTCAAGTTGACAGAGGGCCTGGTAGTACCCCGTAGTGTTTACTCCTGGAACATGTTGATCTGTGTTATGAGGGGCTAGGGGGGCTTTCGAGATTGCCAGCGCGAATTCGACCGAGTAAGCCAAGTAAGGAGTCGGGGATGCGTAGATAAATCGCAACGCTGAAAGAAGATACCTGATGGTTCTGAGTCTTCCGGTAGTGAGGAGTCAGCAGTTTCCCAGACAATTAGTGGATAGTTTGTCCCAGTTAACATCAAGATGATTTCAGCTTCCAACCCTAACGTATTTGGCAGCCAACGCCGTTCATTTTCGAATGGAAAATAACCAAATTACTGATGTAAAGAGCAAAAGAAGACAGAGTAGGTGAGGTCGATTCAACTTGTTGAAGTTGTGTGCTCTAATCCAATATACCCTTGCCTCCCAGATCATGAGCAGATTGCCATTTCTGACTATGACATGTCGTGGGCGAGACGATAATCGTCTCCGGTATACTTTACAGAAACAAAAGGCCATTGTCAATTGCAAGGCTTCCATCTGGGCTTCTCCTGACTTGATATCGCAGGAGGGAGATGATGGCTTCAACCCTTCAACTCGACCCTCCTGGTGCTTTAGGTTGAAGAGCACGGCGCGGAACACTACCGGTCACTTGGTTCGGTACATGGATGCGCCGTTCACTTACTCAAGGTAATGACTGTGTCGTGTAGAACGCTGACACTGACAATACTCTCAACTCAGTGCCATGAACTGTTAGGCCCCAGGACTCCTGGACCCAGTTGCCATTCTCGGCTGTCCAGTTATCGCTGATGCAGAGGAGAGTCGTTTCTCTATCCATTCTGATTTGAGTCAACGTGACCATATTTCACAATTCCAAATGGCTAGTCTCTCCTGGTTCGGATTGTCAATGGCGTCTTTGTCAGTTCGGCTTGGAATAAATTGCATTGAGTGATCAGGATGCTTGCACAATAAATCATGCTGTTGAATATCAACAGATAGAACCACAACTCTGTGCCGTATGTGAATAGCTTTTGATCTGTAAGCAAAGACTGTGCTTGATGCAAATAAGCTTCCAATGGGATATCCGCATACTTTGTTATCACCCCTGCGTGGTATTTCACCAGGGCCCGATCTCTAATAGAGGGCCCGTAGTCGCCCGGTCTTCTACAGAGACGATGATGATGGCCCTTGAGCCTTCAACCCGGTCCTCCTGCTTCGAATTGAAAGGCACAGAGCGAAATAATACTGTGCTGTACATGAATGGCTCATTCACGTACTGAAGGTATCGTGTTGTGAAGAGTACGGATGGTCCATGAGCTCGGCCGTGGATAGTGAGACACCATGCCTCTTGATCTCTTCAGCCACTCGTCATAAACTCCATAGATAGACCCAGGACTTCCCCAACCTCCTGGGCCTTTACGGATACCGCTGGATTCCCGTCGACTAGTGTTTATCGCGGCGTGGCGCCTGTTTGCCTGAGAGAAACATGTAAGCTATTGATGCCCGTTTAAAGCGAGCTATTGGAATACACTTCGCATGAGATCACTGGGATCTTCCCGAGTTGGGTTGACCCCCGGTTGCTTCCTGATCTTGTATAACAATCCCACCATCGGTGCTCGCAGAAGCCTCGTCATTGACAAGATACACAATGGAGTGGATATTTGCGGGCTTCCTATTATGGTTAGCTTACTGATATCTAAAATATTAGATGTCTGCAACGCACCAAGCAATTTGATAGTTGTTGTTGATCTGGGACAGTGTGCTGGTCAGGAGAATGCCAGAGGCGAGCCCCAAGACAATCCCTGGAAACTGGTTCCTGCTGGTCCTCGGTTGAGGAATAGTAATCATCGCTATCCGGAGTTCCCCTTTCCTGGTACCGAACTGTGTCAGGCAGAACAAGGCTCCGAGTACTGACAGCTCTGGTCAATGTTTCGAATAAGATCTGGAATGGGTTTCCGGATAAATTTGGGCTATTGGGGCTTTAAAAGCGCCTCAGCACGTCAACGCTGATTGCTCTGAACAACCGATTGAAGTCTGCGTTCTTGATTAGCTGAGAACTGATTGGATTCAAACCTAGGTTCCAGATTCCAGGTATGTGCTCCTTGTCGAAAAAGCGTGTCACCGGAAGATCTAGATAGACCACCCGTAAGGGCCGTAACTCCCTCATAAACTAATTGCGATGCTGACACATGTAACGATTTTTTGCGCATGCTCGTCATTCACTGTGGAAACTGCTTTTGTCTGGCCGCCCCGGCGAGAGTTCGCTCCATCTTCTTTCACTGATTCCGGTTTCTATAGGTTGCTGGGAAAACCCCTTGGTGATGTCCAGCGAGCAATCTTGCTCATCTCAGTACATCGCAACCTGATCTGTCGCCATTCGCGATGCATCGCTTTTAGCTACGAATTGTAAAACACCAAACAAAAATCTCAACAATTCCCGACGATCCTTACGCTCCAAAAGCTCGAATGGTTTCGAGCGGTAGTATAGCAGATCTTCCTTTATGGGTCGGCGCGAGCAGAGGCTTCTCAAGTAATGCCGAGATGCTACTATCCTACCGATACGAAGAACAGTCCGGTCCACGGTGATCACAAATCCAGTATATTGGTCGAGTTGTTGGTTATGGCTGTAAGCGAGGATAGCTTGCAGCAGGGCCTGCGGAACTTCATAGCGAGCTAGGGTCTCTCTGTCATCGGTTTTTGGTAATGTGGTAACCTAGATATGTAGCAGTTAGTATAGGAAGATAGCGGAGTGTAAGTCAAAAGAAAGGAACTGACTGGGAAGATTATGAGTGGGATACTTATAGCTCGACCTTCACAGAACCTCACATAAACACCATGGGTCCGGAGTATCCCACGTGCTAACAAAATTGGAATAGTGAAGCGTATCCTCGCGTCCGGGAAGAAGGAACTTGTTCAATGTCAGCAATTACTTTCTAACATTCATAAGGGTAAACCTTTCATAAGGGTAAAGCTTACAAATTCTCAGCAGCTTCAAACTCTGAGATAGTTGCCATAAGTCTCACAAGGAAGCTTGAGAAACTAACAAGATGTTTGGACACATCCCGTCATAGAAGGACCTGGTCAAAGTGGGCGAATAGGCGGCTGAAAAGAGTGCTGTCCGGGATATTGGGGCCCATAACGAGTTTCTCTCTGCTTGGCTGACAGAAAAACGCAACAGTCCTTTCAAAAGCTGCCATAGTAATTAGATTAGCATCCTGAATTCCTGTCCTTCATCTGGGGAAAGGCTGAATAGAGACAAACTTTGGTCGCGATCCTTGGCGAATAAACGACGATACAGCTGAGTATAGAGAGACAAACCCGTGTAGACATCTTTGGGAACATAGTCACCTGCAATGGTAGTCGCTGAAGCATTATCATACAGCTTCAATTTGACCACCTCAAGATGCCTAGGCGTCCACTTTCTGGGTGATTATAGGAGCATCAACACCTCTGTAGATGGCTTGACTGGCAAAGATCTTGCTTGAGAGGCTTCATCTTTCCGTTTGTGGCGTCGCTTTGCAGCACTATTGCCTTTGTTGGAAGTTTTCTTGCGCCTCTTCGTAGTCATTTTAGCGACTTGTTCTGCATGAACAGGCGTTGAAGAAACCCGAAGAGGAAATGATATAGACCGTAATATATTACCAAAATAGACACCATATTACAGTATCATTACACAAACATCACAAACACGTGACACACTCGTCTTATATCGTCAACAACGCCATAATCAGCGATAGAGGGTACACTAAGCCCTTAATCTATTGAATTGTATATCCAATCCTAGTATCAATTCTCTTCTTAATATATTACCTTTTTTTTCTCGAATATCAGAGAAAATGGCCTTCGACAAACGAACATCATCCCCCACCGTCTTCGAACAACAACGCGAAGAACTCGTTCGGGAAATCGCAGTAGTAAGGCCCCATTCATGTACACCTGTCTGTATCTGTATAGTAACGAATATAGGGCATGGAACAAGTTCTCCAAAACATCAACCGGCTGAATCGGAACCTGGAGAGTGTGATTGCCGTACGCACCATCCCACGTCCATATGTAACAAGATAACGAAGCTGATTAATGAAGGTCGGGAACGAGTTCGGCTCCGTCGAGGCCCTCTGGTCTCAATTCGAGAATTTCATGGGCCGTCCGGATGCCCAAGGAACAGAAGGGAACGCACCGGGCCAAGGTCAAGAGGAGGCCGGGCAGAGTCACAGCCCGAGTCACAGCCAAGATATGAGTTACGAAGAGGAGGATACGGTTACGAAATAATGAACAGTGAGAAGGGCTTGGTGTATGATTTGACATTTATTCTATGATACCAATATTCATTTCATCCATTTATCATGACATGGGTTTTTGCGCCAATAAGCCAATAAACACCTGTTCCCATGCAAGAGGGTGGCCTGCAGACCATTTCGTGATTGACATCAATAACACATGAGACAAGGAAGGGGTCATAACAGGGTAAATATGTAATAGAGGGGGAAATCTGGGAAAAAGGAAAAAAAAAAAAAAAAAGACATAAATCAGAAAACCACCTCAACCGGCATGTCAGACAGGAATGAGCTTGCGTCAACCTCTCGCGTATCAAATCTAGTTGGCAAGCGGGCCGTCAAAGCAACCAGGCTTCGATTCGGCCAATCGGGGAATCAAAGGAAAAGAAAAACAAATAGGCGGAAACAAGAAAAGAGACGAGAAGAAGAACGCATCACAGAATCTTGCAAGAGCGCTTCTTGATTTTCTTGCCTCCCATTCCTCCTCCACTACTACCACCGGCACTAGTACTACTGCCGCCGCCAGTCTTTCCAGTAGTAGTCGCACTAGGACGGCTGTTCGATGCCCACTGTTCCTCTTGCGAGACGGCTGTGTGCACCGCAAGAGCAAAGACCTCGTCCACTCCACGCATCTCCTTACTGCTGCATTCGATGTAGGAGGCGTTCATTCTTCGAGCCACTGTCTCGCCCTGTTCTGGAGTCACGGGGGTCAAGCCTTGGGTTTTGAGAAGCTCAATGCATGTTCGCTTGCCGCGCAGGTCCGACTTCAAACCGACCAGGATAATGGGTGTTGTAGGACAGAAATGAAGGACCTCAGGATACCACTACACATCGTTAGCGTCATACTACCAGTCGAGTAGTATGGAATGATAATCACCTTGTCAATGACATTCTCTAGCGATGCCGGACAGTCAATGGCAAAGCAAACAAACAACAGATCCGTCTCGGGATATGACAATGGACGCAACCGGTCATATTCTTCCTGTCCAGCTGTATCCCATAGAGCCAATTCGACTGTCTTTCCCGATGGCCGATGAGCAGTCTGGGTGATGTAATTTTCGAAGACGGTAGGGACGTATTTCTGCGACACGTTAACCCCGCACCTATCGCCTTGATTTATATGTGCCATACCTCTGGAAAGTACCCTTGCGAATAGCTGATCAACAAACAAGTCTTGCCGCAACCTCCATCTCCCACGACGACGAACTTCTTCGAATAGGCAGGTGGCTGGGTCAGATTGGTCGCCTCGGACATCCTTCCACTCGACGCAATGCTGGTATCTGTGCTGACGGTTCCGTTGCTGACTCTCACGCTCTGGCTGCGGACTCGACTGTGGCGCGGGACTGATGCAGGAGGAGGGGTGGCTGTAAGGGACTGACGTTGCGAGGTCGTGTATAATTGGTCGTCGTACATCTGGCCTGACATGCTGGCGGGAGAACTCGTCGCTTGGTTGGCTGGTTTCTGGCCCGATTCGCAGGCGGATTGTCGGTCTGAATTGTTTCTTGTAGAATGTTTTTTTCAATTCAGAATATGAAGAAGTAGAACTGTTTCCCAGATAGGGAACAGTAGATCGGGGAATAACGTGCAGGTCGTTATTGGAGGGTATGCGACAGATCAACCGTGGTTCGAGGGACGGAAGGGGAGATTCGGCTATCGATTATTATCACCAGTCGGTTCCAGATGAAGAATGCAATTAAAGTAGAGGCTGAGTAAAGCACGGTGTAAGGGAAAGAGAAAGAACCAAGAGATTCCAAAGAGAAAGAGAGAGAGAGAGAGAGAGAGAAGTGTCTTTGATAGTTGCCATTCAGTATGTTTACGGGCTGCCATGGCAACCGCCGATGACGCTTCCGGATATTTTTAGTCCTGCCACTCCCAGCTTCCAACAACCCGATTTGGTTTCTTATTTACTACGAGACAGACGCCCTGAGAATCCTCAACCCTGATCTAAAGACGCGATTCGGTTAGTGTCTGGTGTGTTTCTCCATAATCCAATCTGGACCTCAGCCAACCATCGTGGATGGTGCTTCATCTATCCTCGACGGCGGGCCTTTTTCTGACAGTCCGGATGAGCCATTTCTGTTGCTGCTCCACAATTCAGCTGGCCTGGTTACGGGTGGATTGGCGAGATAAATTAATGCAGTGTTGTTTGGTACTCGAAGTACTTGTACTTTGACTAGCCTGGACAATTGCTTTGTAGAGGCTCTTACATCGGTGCTCAATTGACCAATGAGGGTGCGGAGAATTATACACTGTACAGAGATTAGAGATAGAATAGCCGACCAAGCAGAATGAAGTAGACTACAATAAGCTTGTTATGAGACAAGTCGTTGTTTCAATGCACCAAGTGCTGAAGAACCATACTATGGCCGACATGGGCGTTCTGCGCATGACTCTTCTGGGTCAAACATACTGAAACGCTGTCACAAGGATGAATTAGGATAACTTACTCCAGAGTACTGTCTTCTAAGTACTCCGTACCCCATATTCTTTCTACGGAGTACGACTACTCTATCGTCGATCGTCGTCGTGCAAACATGTCGTATTCGTATAGCTGACTAAGCACACTATAGGGGCCGCAAAGAAAAGCCCGATATGATATTCGTTCCTCGGTCCCTCTATATCTTCGACGGCGCGCTTTTACTCAGCTGCTTCGGTACGATTTTTCTGTTAATTGCCTCGATGGCCCCTCGTGCGCCATAGAACGACTCCGTCCTTCGCCTTAACTACGCTGCAACTCTATGGGGGAGACCGCAATTTTCGCATCGTTCTGATATCCACGGCCTCGGCGTTTTACCAATATGGCTCAGGGGACAAACGGCCAGCCAGATGCCGGGCTGAGAAGCCTCGATCATTGTACGCAATGACTCCTTTCTATGTTTGTTGCAACATTGCTATAGATGTGAATTATATGCTGACGCGACGACAACGACAACAGACCGCTACCAGCTGCCGTCCTGGCGTTATTGGCCCCGACAGAAACTCCTTCCTCTCGTGCGCTATGAAACGCCCTACCTGGCATGGTTCCAGGAAAGAGTCCGGACGCCGTCGCTAGATTCCTATTTCGCCTTCACTGCAAATCTCGGCACCCATACCTTTTTCATGATATTCTTGCCGATATTGATTTGGAGCGGTCAAATAACCATGGGTCGAGGGTAGGTGTTGCTCTGGAAGAAAAAAAAAAACCGGATATAGAGCGGTTATGCGACGGTCAGCGACTAACGTTTGCCTGCAATAGGCTGGTACACATGTTGGCTTCGGGTGTTTTCTTCAGCGGTTTCGTGAAGGATCTACTATGTCTTCCGCGGCCGTTATCACCCCCGCTTCAGCGCATCACCATGTCCGGCTCTGCCGCTTTGGAATACGGCTTCCCTTCGACGCACTCGACAAATGCGGTCTCGGTTGCGGTATACTGTCTCGGATTGCTTAATTCGCCCGAGTCGACCCTGGGCCCGCGTCTGAACTTGGCGCTCCAGGCCCTGACGTGGGTCTACGTGGCCTCCGTGGTGCTTGGCCGCTTGTACTGCGGTATGCATGGTTTCTTTGATGTGATTATTGGGTGCCTGCTGGGTGCCTTGATTGGGTTTATTCAATTCGCATACGAGCCGTTTTTTGAAGAATCGTTAGCCTCGGCAACTGGCTTGCAGGTCTTGTTGCTAGTACTTGTGATTCTGGCTCTGGTTCGTATCCACCCCGAACCCGCAGATGACTGCCCATGCTTCGATGATAGCGTGGCTTTTGCAGGGGTCATGCTGGGCATTGAAGTGGCTTATTGGCATTCTGCACGATCCGGCATCTTATGGGCCGATCCTTCGTATGAGTATGAAGACTCGGGCTCAATCAAGACTGTCTTGCGCATGATCCTCGGCGTGGTACTCATATTCGCATGGAAAGAAATTATGAAGCCCTTTTTGCTGCGCATTCTCCCTCCCGTCTTCCGAGGGCTAGAGAAACTGGGTCTCATTCTTCCCCGAAGATTCTTCACCAACGCCTCGTACGTTTTACTCTTTATAACCATTCCATCTTGTGATTGTATACTAACGCGCCCAAGACAATATTCCACGGTCCCCGCACAGCTCACGGATGACGAAGTACTTCCAAACTTCTCGGAAATCCCATCCATTCTTACAAATATCAGCCAAGCTCGACGACGGGCTGTGTCTGTCGGTCCGCAATCCGAGGCTGATGCATACGAAACCCTAGCGTATCGCGAGAAGCGCCGACGGGAAAGCCGTTCAGGTGGTAACCGACCATCACCTGTGTTGGAAGAAGCGGACAGCAGGCATGGAGTTTCCGCAGCAGTGGACGGACGGCAACCTTCGCTAGCGCGCAGAGCGACCAAACTGAATGACTATGAGAATATGATGGGAACAGGTACTCCTCGCTACAATAGCCCTCATGATCCCGGGACCGATGGGGACCGGACTGACCGCTCATCCCCGCCCGTGCCGTTTCCACCCTACGAAGAGCCACCGGATGAGGCCGAAATGTTTCGGCAGATTAAGCGACCGCGTGTGCGGTACGATGTGGAGGTGATCACCAAACTGATAGTATATTCTGGTGAGTGACTTGACGGATACTAGCACCATGGGAATTTTCTAATAGCTATTCTAGGCATTGCCGCGCTTGCTGTCGAGGGAGCACCCCTTGTGTTCGAACTGGTGGGCTTGGGTATGGTCAAAGCAAAATAATGCAGTATGACTCAACAGAGAAGGTCCATTGGAAGAATCAGCAACTTTTTATTTCGATTCTTTGTCCAGCTGGCTGGACTGGTGAATTATTATTGGGACATATTTTGCTAGATATTGGCAGGGAAAGAAAGTCATGTATCTAACGATTTTAGAGTTGAGTTACGGAAGATTGATCCTTGGGGAGACAAACATCCTTGTCGATAGCTTGAAAATTAGCTAGCTGGCTTTAACAAAAAGAAACAAATAGTAATAATAGCTGTAATAATATAAATCTGTGCTCTGTAAGGTACCATGTGCTGACAGCAACAGCCGCGCGGCAATAGACGCGGCAGATCCCGCGCGGTTATCTCCAGCTTTCTTTGGCTTCAATTTTCCCCGTCGCATATTAATTCCCCAGCTTCATCATCTCTGCCCCTCGGGAGGCCTGCCACCATCCACGCCCAATTGATCTTTCATTTCTCGAATATAATCAGCGCATTTACTGCGACTTCCGGCCACGAACCGTACAACTCGCAGACCATGCCAATTACGCGTGACTGTGCCTTCCCGATTCGGCTGTTTTGATTTCGCCTCCAACTCATTCACCAAGCTTGTCTACGTCCCCCTCATACCTGACAACTTCGCTATCCTCCTCGTTGTTATTGACATTCTTACTTGCCTTTTTGTCACGTTTACAACGACCCGGACAATTTTCCTCCTTCACCGACCGACCTCTTTACAACTGCAGCAAGCTCTTTGTTTGGACAATATTCCGTCAATACTGGCATCATGACTGGCATCGCTGCGACCCAGCAGCTAGAAATGGAGGACGAGGTTATGAAAGACGTCGCTTTGCTGTCCCCCGATGCCCCGCGTCTGGATCCTGCTCTCGTTTATTCACCCGGCGATCCCATGGACATCAGTCCGATGCCCGCCGCAAACCACCAGCGCCAGCCCGTCTTCGAGCAGCAGCCTTCTCAAAATGGCTCACAGCGTGTCGAGCAAACCGCAAATAAGACCTTCAAAAATCCTCCTCAGCCCTCTTTTACGAATGACCACCCTGTTCTGAGCCCCACCGCTGGTTACGTCAAGCCTGATGGCAACAACAATAACAACAAACCCTCATCGGGGTTACCGAACCGCAGAACTATCTTCCAACCCCATCGTTTCTCCCCAAAAAATCGTGCTTCTGTTAAACAGGGCCACTTGAAGCGTCTCCCGTTGGCCATGCAGGCGAAGCTCGGTACTCCTTACAAGCCCGCCTTGGTTGGCATGAATCGCAACATCCGAACTTTGCCCTCGTCGTCTAACCCTCAGCCTGGCATTCAGTCGAATAACAATCACTTTACCTTAAATGGATATCCTTCGCTGGATCTCAATCATGTTCACGATCGTCCGACTCTCGACCCCCCTGTCAATCGGCAATTGTTCAAACCTGCTGCTCCTATACCCGCACCTACGAACTCGGCGACCGGTCCCGCTAGTGACGAGACTGTTACGAAGCCCACTTCCGAGCACACTACTACTGCCGCTTCTAAACAAGCTGTTAGCGAAGATCCTCGTGAGACCACCAGCGGATTTTCCCTGCAACGCACACCCCTCATTAAAGGGAAATTGAACGACATCGATATCGATCGCCCCGCGACTTACGTTAGCCCTAAGTACCGCAAACTAAGCCAACGTGGCTCGGACTCCGCTACTACTTCGCCCGCTCATGACTCTCAACAAACAACCTCTGCCCAAGACAAGAGTCGCCCCAACCTTTCTAAACAGCCAACCCTTGCACCCATTACTTCTAATCTGATCTCACCTTTCAAACCCAACCTTTCGATCAACAAGATTTCACCCACGGGAAGGACAGACGATTCCAAGCACACTGAAGCTTGGAATGACATGTTAGAGCTCCAGGACGCTCTCCGGAATCAGGGTATTGCCCCGGAAAACCCACCCCACCAAGACCCCATCAACGAACCCCCCAAACCTTGTCATCATCGTATGCCGGGTAGCTGGCCGGAAGACTCCCTTGACTTCCCCGAGCCTACCAGAGATGAACCCCATCTTTTTACTCAAGACCCGAATCTCTCAGGAGACCATGGTTCGCTGATGCACAGTACTCTAGTTACTTCACCGGAACTGGTTTCCAAAACACAAGAACCAGTCAATTCGACCTCTACGCCGGAGTCCCAGGCCCCTTCAGCCTCTTCTCAGGATGCCACGACTATTCAGGCGCAAAACTCAGAGGCTGGCCAAGATGAACAAGCAAAGGACGACCCTTCCAATCCTTCGTTTTCCTGGAGTAACCAACTCTGGGGAGCCACGCAGAGCGTTGTCGCCACTGCCATTGCTCTTGCTGACACTTTCAAACGACGTGCCACCGCTCTCTTTGAAGAACCTCGTCCCGCCTCTCGTCGGACTAGCCATACCACTACCTCGAGCTCCCCGACCAGAGCAAATTTGCGTATGCTTCCAGAAGACCAGCGTCGACGTTTGAAAAGCAACCAGTGGCGCATAGACAGAGGCTTTCCGACTGTGCAGGACTATCCATTTCCCGAATTATCTCTTGATGCGCCCCAATCCCCGGCTACAATCGATGCATTGCCAGAAGATGAAACTCCTCCAAAGCCAGTTATTCCAGACGCCAAGAAATCAATCAGTAGCGACGAGCCTTCTCGCAAACGTGGCGTTCCTCCGGTGACAGACGGCAGGCGCCAAAGTGTTAATTCCGGGATCAATAAGAGGCCCACGTTCCAGGCATTGAGTCCGAATATGAAACGACGAATGCATATGCGCCCTGGAAAACGGAAAATTGCACGCACCCGACTAGACCGCTCATTGGTACATGCTGTCCAATCTGGTAAATGGACTCCGGACGATCTACCCACAAAGCCGAAAGGACTCGTCGCCCCAGTGCAGGATCGTAAAAGGTTAGCTCATATCGAATCCGTCAAAACCCAAAAGGAACGTTCACTAATACCAATTCTTAGGAGGCCGGGACTCGCCGCGACTGAAGCCGCCCGCCAGAAACGAGCTGCGCCAAAGAAAGTGCGATTTGTACTTCAGTCTGCCCCCCCAGACGACGATCCGGCTCTCGTGGGCCACCACTTGCATCCTGGGCTTACGAAAACATTGGTTGAAGAGGAAAAGGAAAACGAACCTTCGAAACACATCGAGGAAGAAACTGAAGCTCCTGATCCTGGTTTACGCTCGTGGCTCCAATCCGATTTTCCATTTGGAAGACCTGTGTCTGCTGTTCAGCTGTTTGCTCCCGGTGCCAAACTTCCCCAGGGCCGTAGCGAATCTATCTTTGCAGCCGAATGGCGCAAAATTCAAGAGGAAGAAAAGGCCAAGCAAGTCCCCGCCCGGATTCGTCCCGAGGGGCCTGCCGTTCGACCTCTTCCACCGAAATGGGAGGCTCGATTGGCAGAAGCCAAGGCGTCTCCGGACAATCGGCAGATTGCCACAACTTTATCCGGAGACCCTTTGACCAAGAGGGACCTCGCCACCTGCTACACGCCTGCGAGGTGGCTCAACGACGAGGTCATCAACGCATACCTCGCTGTCCTCATCGACTACCTCCGACGGGCTAATGGCAACGCGGGACGCCACGACAAGCCGAAGTTCCATGCTTTCAACACGTTTTTCTTTTCGAACCTAAGGGATAAAGGCTACTCATCCGTCAGTCGGTGGGCGAAGCGGGCGAAGATCGGGGGAGAAGCCCTGCTTGAAGTCGACACGGTGTACATCCCCGTGCACAACAGCGCTCATTGGACTTTGATGGTCGTCAAGCCGACCGAGAAATCCATCGAGTACTTTGACTCGCTGGGTTCCGCTTCGCCTCGTCATGTGGCTATAGTCAAGGACTGGCTGCGAGGAGAGCTTTCGGCCCGGTATGTCGAAGAGGAGTGGTCGGTGGTCCCCACCGTCTCCCCCCAGCAAGACAATGGGAGCGACTGCGGTGTGTTCCTATTGTCAACGGCGAAGGCCGTTTCTGTCGGAATTGAGCCGTTGTCCTACGGGGCGAGAGACATCCCGCTTTTGCGGCGGAAGATTGTGGCCGAGCTGATGGCTGGTGGTCTTGACGGGGACTTTAAGCCCGAGGGAGAGACCGATGAGGTGTTGATGTGAGCTCATAAAAAGAAAGAAAAGAAAGGAGTGGAAACAATCCGCGAACGATCAAGAAGAAAAAGAAGTTCTGTTTGGGTTAATCTAAATTCTGCATTTTACCCTTGTCTGTTGTCTGTTGGAGTCGCGAGGTTGAACATTTGACGGTGATATGATTTGCATGGTGCGTGGATTTACATACATTTATACACATCGAGGGAGCATCGGGATAGCATTTACAGGAATAGGCGTTTATATGTGTTGTTCGTGTTGTTTCTGCTGGATGGTGCATGTGCTGTTTGATATTTGATACTTGATACCTGATATACTTAACTTGATACCCCGTCAGTCGAGCTCTCGACATGAGCATTGCAATCTTTCGGCATTTACATCCTGATTTTCTTATATTTGCATGTATCTCGGAGTCTGTATTCTGTTTGTATTTAGATAGAGCCACTTTTTTGTTGGTTACAACCTTGTCCGGATATATGGTACAATCGTGGCAGACTTGAATATAACTTGATTGAAAGAGAGCACATATGTTTCGTAATTCAAATAATGATTATAAAGCTAAGCATCTTTAACTAAAATAACCAGGATCACGGAAGGGTGGCCTCAGACAGTAGACAAGAGACGGCGCTTGAATCTACCAAACGTTGTCCAACCAGCATGGTCTGCGACATTTCTCGTCATCGTCCTCTTCTTGCTTCTTTTTCTTCCTCTCCTCGCCAGAGATGTTTGCTTTCCCTGGATCGCCGTTTGACGCATCTCTGGACCGACCTGACACGTTATAGGCCAACTGGATCCATTCGATGCCCATAAACACGCTCTCACCAACCTTCATATCACCAGTCCAATCCCCGCCATCACTCCAGAGGTTGATAACCAGCGTACTCGGCAAATCGGGGACCTTATACGTCTTGGAGCTGTGCATGCGATCATCAACGTACCAGACGGAGAGGTTAGAGAACCAATCCAGCCTATGCGTGGCCCACTCAGTCCACGGCGTCTGGACAGCAGCGATAGTACTGGCGCCGGGGATAGTCTCATCCGTTTCCCAGTCGTAGTCTGGTTGGTTGGCGTAGTGGATGATATTGGATGGGTCCTTGGTTAAGATCTCGATATCCGACTCCCCGCCTGAGGGGTTGATGGTGAAGATACCGGCGCAGGCACCCTTTGGCGGTTCACCTGGGGCCATGGGATTGGTGGTATTGTGATTCGCATGATTCCATCCCAGTTCGTCGTTGGCAAGACGGCCGTAAGGTAGCATGCGGAGACGGATACGGAGCGAGCAGCGGAATACATTCGTAAGACGGTTCTCGAGCTCAGCGGCTGAGTTGTACTTGTCAAGACGCGTGGTGCGGAGCACGAGATAGGTATTTCCAAACTCAGTGGTCGAATTGGTATCATTGCCCTTGTGAAGCGGATCTTGGGCGAAGAAGATGTTGTTAACGGAGTTGAGGATTGGCACGGGCTTCTGAGAGGTAGATCGACGATTCCAGTTCTGCGTCTTCCAATCCGCTGCAAAATGGGATCTCGACAGTGGCACCGCGTTGGCTCCGAATATGCTGTCAGTCGCCATCACCGTCTCATCTTTCACATCGCCATCGATGCTATCATCAGGGATGGCGATATTTGCGGGTGATTCTGGTTTGGTTGGCGTGATATCGCGAGGGATGGGAGCATGTCGGAAATCCCAGAGTTGGTAATGCTGGAAGTATCCTTGATCCTGGCCGGAGACTAGGTAGCAGTCGCAGTGGGGGTGCTTGTGGTTCTCAGCCGTGGCGGGTAAAATTGGAGAAGAGTCATCTTCGGGGATGGTTTGCGATAGGATGGGGACCACATAGGTGAGGAATTTGAGCAGTAAGATGAGTGTCTTCATGGCTGCAACTGAGCTGCGTCGCTCGAGGGATTGGCGGGAGAGGTGAAGTTGAGAGCTAGGAAAGATGGGTGCGAATACGGATCTGAAAAGAGAAAGGCGGACGCTGGGAAGGTTATGACATGGATGGAATAGGAAGGTGCAGCTGTATGCCTGTTTTGGAAAGAGCAGACCGAATAGGTCATAATAGGCAAGAACGGACCCGGCGGTACAGTGATATAGGTAGACTGCGATGAAGCAAAGTAGGATGCATGGTCCAGTTGGGTTCTAGGAAGAGATTAGGGCTATCATAGACTAAATCCGCGCATCTTGAGGTCATTTCTATAAGATTTAGAAGGCGCGGTAACTTATGGCTCTGCAGCTGGGTCAGGTTCGAATAGGTCCTGTTTCAGGACCTCGAGGACTTTCTTTTCATCCACCTGTGCCAGATCAACCGAGGGCATTGAATCATCGATTCCTTGTGCGCCCTCTCCGTCCAGACCACCAAATTCTCCGTCCTCCCCCGGTTTTTCAGTTTGTATGTACTCTTCTTCCAAACGGAACAATGCGTTCTCCTTGTTTGTCGCACGCAATGCGTCTGGTGAATCCGGTAGCACGTAGATGGTGGGAAATTCGAGGACTGTCCGCTTGTGTAAAGCCGAGATAAAGGTTGCGACTGGAGGTAGGGGGATCAGGACGGGCTGTTTGGTGGCAGTTCGTGGACGGTGAAGGTAGAAGTAAACATCCCGGTGAGGGATTATTTCGCTTTCTTGTGAGTCTGACGGGAAGGGATCCGAGGGTTCAGGATATGTCTTGCTTTGTTCTGGCTGCGTTTCGTCTTGCTTTGGTTGAACTGGCTGCTCCTGTTCGGCGGGTTGGAAATTCGTCTCTGTTGTTGGCCGTGGTTCTGATTCGGTTTGCGGTTGCTGGTTGTCGTCCTGCTTTTGCTCCTGCTCTTGCGCCTGCTCCTGCTCTTGCGCCTGCTCCTGCTCTTGCGCCTGCTCCTGCTCTTGCACCTGCTCCTGCTCTTGCACCTGCTCCTGCTCTTGCACCTGCTCCTGCTC